AGCAACCATTTCTACATACTTCCTCCCAGATGTTTCTATGCATTGTAACTGTGTCTATGCATTCCTGACCATGGCTACATGCATTTTATTTTCTCCCTGCTCATCCAAGACAATGTGGGTCCTTATGATACAAACACCTGTAAGCATGTTTCACCTGTTCTTCCTCCCAGAGTTTGATTTGTTTGATCACTTTGTGGAACATCTCTGTGCAGCCACGTCGGTACTCATGTAGTCAAGCAACAGGGGCGGCCCTGCTAAGGCTTCTGCAAGGGCCGCGGATATTGATACGAGCTAAGAGAATGCTGCTTTATCACATCTCTCCCAGCAAACACTGCCTTGTGAAGAATGCGTTATTTTCAGAAGTTAACAGCTATCCAGGCTCAGGCACAGAAAAAAGAAACAATGTACATGTTACTTGCTAAGAGATGGGCCCCTGGGAACTGGCGGGACAGCTGCTGCTCTGAGCTTTGACCAGTTGTTTCTATTTCCTCTTTTCCAGGAGCACAAGGAGACCCTTGGAACACTTCCTGGAATGTTACTATTCTCATGTCTCCTTGGAGCTTCTGAGGGAGCTGCACTGTTCGCAGTTCTGTCTCTCTAAGCTCGCTGACTGCCCTGGACATAAACGTTACTGTGTTGTGATAGGCTGGGCCACCTCCCGCTCTGTGGTTTCTTCCCTCATTTTTAGGGCAGATAACTCTCAAACACACCCTTGGTGGGGCGACAAGAGTGAGTTTGCACCTGCCTGGCAAAGAGGGGCTGCCTTTGTCTTAAACAATGATTCTTTATAGCTGCCACGGGACAGTGTCCAGAGACCACAGCCAGCAAATCCCTTGTGCCCTGGTTCTAACGCTGGGTGACCTGCTGAGCTGGTCAAATGATGAGAGCCAGGAAATGTTCCACACACCCATGTGCTCCCAGGTGCCCCAGCTACCGGCACCCTCAGGGAGCAACAGGAGGGCTAACAGCGATGTGGTGCACGGGCAGCCGGACTGGCTTTGGGCAGGGGGCCTGGAGGCACCAGGATAAAGGGCAGAGATGAAGGAAGCACCCCCAGGCCGCCCTCCCTGCGCACCCCACAGCTACGCTCCTGTAAGCTCTGGCGCTGGCCCTGAGCCACTGCTACTGCCTATTGAGTGGGATCTTGCCACCATGGTCCCCACGGTAAGAGATAGGAGGAGAAAGGCCAGCTCCTGCCTTACCTGTGCTTCCCAGCAGCCTTTGGCAGCATAGTCTCGGAGTTTCCGGAAGCTGTAGAGGCATCGCCCAGGATCTGACATCTGTCAGTGCAAGAGAGTCATCATGCTTTTATATAGTTTTGTCTCTGGAAAAACTCAGAACCAACCCATCAATTCTGAAATGTTCCTCCCAACACCCCCAGGGGGTCCACAGCTCAGCCTTCTTCCCAGCCCCTTACATCCAAATGACGGAGGTTGCCGGGGGCAGCCATTGGGAATGGCTCCTGCACAGCGGCTCCTGGGGCTCCAGGAGTAGCACAAGGGTCTCCCATATGGACAGAACCTTGCCAAAGGGCCCCTTTGGAGATGGCACCTCTGGCCAACACAAATCCTCCTCTCCCCAGACCCTGGCCCACTCACGTCCGTCCTCCTGTCTCGTTCCCAGAGGAGGTATGAGCTGACCAGACATCCCTGATTAGCAGACTCTTCAAACAGGTCCTGGGCCTGCTGCTTCCGCTCTTCATCCTACAACAGACCCCAGACAGTGGCTTCTTTCACCCCGCTTTCTGCAGAACACCAGACTCTACGGGCCACTATCGTCTCTCCTCGGACTTCTTGGAATCATATTCATGGGCTTTTCTCCTGACAGAGTTAACTAAGTCGGGAGTGGAGGGATGCCTGGGTGGTTTAGCGGCTAAGCGTCTGCCTTCGGCCCAGGGGGTGATCCTGGAGTCCCAGGATTGAGTCGCACATTGGGTTCCCTGCATGGAGCCTGCTTCTCCCTCTGCCTGTGTCTCTGCCTCTCTATGTCTCTCAAGAATAAATAAAATCTTTGAGGGGGGGGGAATAAATAAATCAAGAGTGGAAACGACTTAAGATGTGTGCTTTGACCAGCACCGGGACAGCGAGCTTACAAGCTCTGCCCTCACAGGCTCCTTTCCTCCCGCATGAGGTTTGTGTCTGGCTGGGCCCTCCACACTGGCCCTCCCAGGTGGGATGTGGAGGTTTCCTCACAGGTGGAGCCTGCCTTTACACCCCGCACAACAGGAGGGGTACTGCTGCTTCCCACTTACTCCCTGGTCCATGGTGTTTGGAATGGCCAGAGAGGTAGGTAGCACAGAAACAGAGTCCTGTGCTGCATGGTGGCAGGCCCACTGGACCCAGGACGATGGGACTCACCTCGAAGAGACTGAGCACTCTCCCCAAGCAGTGTAGCAGAGATGCTCTGTGAGTCTGGACGACAAGGGGGGTGGGGAGTGTGATCATCAGCAGAAAGGAAGCTTCCAGCCGGTCCCCCTCCCCCATCCATGTGTTCTTGAGGCCCCCACCTGGCCCCAACCCCACACCGAGAGGCGCTTCCTGATTCCAGGCTTCCAGGAGCCTGGGTCCTGTGTTCTCAGCTGTCAAGGGTTTTCAGCCCAGCCCCTCTTATGATTCCCTGGGGAGCCCCAGCTCTGAGCCTTCCCCCCCTGCTGACTCATCTCCAGATGCCCCCACACCCACACTCTTGACTTTCTGCACCTCCACGTTCCTCAGGCGCCTGGCCTTACACGGTCCAGTGTCTCCTCACCCTATGGGGCTCGGACCGTCCAGCATGCCAGCCTCCCGTGTGTCCCTCGCCAGGGCTTGCTCCCTGTAGCTGACACTCTGCCCTGAGGCTCTCGTGAACCACGGCCTTGCAGCAGCTTCCAGACACCGACCACGGAGGGCGGATGAAGAGCCAGATGAAGGGCGTGGCACCCACATTGAGTCGTTCAGCGAGGCTGAAGAAGCGAGAGGCTTTCAGGCCATTCACCTCTGCACGGGCTTCATCAGACACAGACACTGTGGAGAACGTAAGCCTGAGTTGGGTCCAAAGGACAGGTGCACAAAATTCCCCACAGGCTTTTGTGAAAGTCTACAACTTCACACAGTGAGAAGTTGTTGGCATTTAATGAGAGCAGAGCCCTTCAAGACAGGGCTCCTCCCCCTTCTTTCCTACCTTGTGAATCACATGTCCCTGCCAGGTCCTCCCAGCAGCCTAAGCTGGGAAGGTCTGGGAAGGTGCCCCCCTGGAGGCGGCACACGCCCCCACCCCACTCCTGCGGGGAGCTATAGCCTGAACCCCTGCTAGTGGGTACAGGGTTTCTTTCTGGGCCAATGTTCCAGATGTGAATGGTGGTGATGGCTGCACAGCTCTGAACATACTAAAAACTGCCTGACTGTACACTCTGGACCGCTGAGCCGCAGGGCTCGTGAATTCTGTCTGGGAACCACTGTGTGACAGAGAAGCCCACTCTCTGGAGCCTGCAGGAGGACTGCTCACCATCTCTACTGGTCCCCACAATCCTGCCAACCAAATAGGAGCAGGAGCTCTCTCAGCAAGACACCAGATCTTTTAGAAACAGAAAACTAGCAGCCATCCCCAGTCTTTGTGCTTTTGGGGAGCTAGGACTGGACACAAGCGGCCTGGTTCTGTGTGCTAAGCAGAGAGGCCAGTGCTGGGAGAGAAGGCCATGCAGCTTCTTTCAAGGACCACCTGGTCCTTAGGGGTGAAGGAGCTTAGGCACCAGGCTGGCTCTGACCTGCCTTCCCCTGGAGCCGTGGCTACTGCGTCATTAATACCCTGTAGAATCAGGCACCCTTTGACTGCTGCCCCAGTCAGCACAGATGAACTGCGGCCAAGGAAGGAGAGGGCCCAGCACCTACACACAACCTGCGGGGTCCAGTGGACAAGGGGAGAGGCATATGGCCGGACAAGCAAGAATAAGGACTGAATGGCTCCCACTGGGAAGGGCTCATGCCTGTTCTACGTGCTCAGCACCCAGCGGGCAAGGCCAGCCCAGCCCCGCAAGGACTTACGGCCTTCGTTGTAGAGGTAGGCTATGCCCAGCTTCACGGCAGCTTCAAAATTTCCCTTTTCCGCAGCCCTAGACCGTTAAAAACACAGCGTCACCTGATGTTGTCTGACACGGCACTTGAAGCTAAAACACTTGTTTTTTAACTGAGGATTTTTTAAATGTAACACAGTCATATACCACTCAACCGTGACACCTGAACCTTAATGATGTGCCAAGCCAAAGAAGTCAGCCACAAAAGGCCACACACATGTGGTATGATTCCACTTACATGAAATGTCCACAAGAGGCAAATCCACACACAGGAGGGCAGATCTAGGGGTTGCCAGGGGCTGGGAAAATTGCAGGGAAAATAGGGAGTGGACACCGAGGTCGACCTCTACTAGTTCTGGCTTCACTGTGGGGTAGTGAGGATGTTCTAAAGTCAGTGGTGATGGTTGCACAACTCTGAATCTATGAAAAATCAGTGAGTTGCACACTTTAAGAGGATGAATGGTATATAGTACGTCGCTTATGTCTCAGGCAGCCTGTCTGGAACCACTGGCACACTGGGGCCCACAGGCCGAGGGGCTCACTCCTGCTCCATCCCTCCCCCTGGGTCCCAACCCCGGCAGGAATTGGGATCAGCCACGGACTAAAATGCAAGAGGAGTTAAATCATATACTTTTGACCAAAAAAAAGAGGGAGGGCTGAGTAAAATTTCCACATGCAGGTGACTTGCATTTGAGTCACGCAGATTAGTCCCAGCCCAAGTGAGACCCTTCAGAAGCATGACAGTGACTAATGAGTCAGGCTGTGCTGGTGGCATGCATGGCAGTGACTGTGCTGCATGTGACTCCACAGGTGACGCTGCCAGCCCTCAGTCACTCCCTGGGGGGTGAGGAAAAGTGTTCCCAGGTCAGGTGCTGGGACGCAGGCTGGCACACTGGGGAACTGTGTGCCCTCAGGTGCACAGATACCTTTCAAAGAGCTTCAGGTTCCCTGGGGAAGGCCACAGTTCCTGGAAGCTGGCACATGCCCACACGCTGGCGTGGTTGTCCACCAAATACTTGAGGTGAGAGTGTACCTGTGGAACAAGGGAAGTGGGGTGGGGGGCAGGGATTATCAAGGGACCCCCCAGAAGCCCTGCTCCTGGAGATCTTGACCATGGGACAGACAGATGACAACTCCCCACCCCAGTGGGAAAGAACCCGTGTATCAAAGTAATAGCTGTTTTGAATACACGGAAGGAACAAGTTTCTCTGTGGCTCTCAAGGCAAGGCCAGTGGTCCTGGAAGGGAGAATGAGCATCTATGCGGAGAAAGGGGTGGTGACACTCGTCAGGGCATATACCTCCTAGGATCAGGGAAATGGATCTAACAGGAACAAGTGTAACAGAAATTTGTTTTGTGCTCCTCTCCCTGGGGCCTTGCTAGTGGGAACACAGCTGGAGCTTGGAGAAGAGCAGAGAATTCAGGAAAAGACCAAAAAAATTAACACTACATTGGGCAGAGGCAGGAAGTGCCCCAGCTGGGAGCCCTGAGCACAGGTGAGCATTTCATGTGCTGAAGTTCCCATCGCCATTAAAAACTCAGCATCCGTGGATATTATGACCATGGTGGAGGCACGTTTGGGAGGTTCCCATTGGGTGTTTTTCCACTGATTTGCTGTGCATGCCCTTGAGTAAGTCAGCACGAGGGGAGTTTCTGCAAACTACCTCCTAGGGTCCCTTTCAATGCTCAACATCACAGGTGATTGTCCTCCAGAATAGGTTTTTGTTCTTTCTTAATACTATGTTATTTCTTAAGAGGTGAACATTTCACTGCCACTGTAGGCTACTTTCTCTGTGAGAACAAACATTGCAACAAAGCAATTCAAAACATATTGCACTATGTTTCAGCTTCGCTATTTTCCTGCAGATTGCAACAACCTCAGATGTCTATTACCATCCTCGTCCTTATAGCCTCTGCCCTCTTCTGTAGCCAAGATTTTGTTCTGACATCTAAGAACATGGAGCCCTGAGCCCTGATGGTGTAAACCACCTGTGAGGTCAACAAGCTAGGGCTGGTGCTATTTTCCTCCTCCGGCAACTTACAGCTCGGACAGCGAGGATGTCCCCAACAGAAAGCCATTTCAGGATGTGAAAGAGCACATCTTCAGGGAGACTCAGGATGGTCAGGTTCCGGGGTCTCCTCCTTATTCTTCGCTTTGTAGGGTAACAGAAGCACTTGGCACACCGACAGTGGATCACTGAGGAAGAAGAGCAGAGCAGAGCGGTCCAGGGGCGTGTTGGGAAGGAGCCAGGGTGAGGTGCAAAGTTGTCTCTGAAGACCCCCGAACGGTCCCTGTACCCCACCCCCAACGAACCCGCCTCATTTCCAGGCCCGAACAAAGGTTAGACAGAGGAGGAGGGCTTCGCCAATTCGGGCAGGCACCGTCGTTCATTCAAACTCCTCAAGGCCTTAGGGCGAGCAGCAAGTACTCAGGGAGCCCGGCCACTGGGGACGGCGGTTCCGCTCGGGCCCGGGCCTCCGCGCTGGTCGGGGCGCCGGGACCGCCCCGAGGGAGCCCCTCGCCCCGCTCGCCCCCTGCTCCCGCCCGCCCGCGGGACCCGCAGGCCTTCCTGCCCCGACCGGCTCTGCCCCGGGGTCGCCCACGGCAATTAACGGGCCGCGCGGGGCACCTGGAGGTCCCGCCGCGCTGTTCTCGTCCCCCGCGCCAGGCGGCCCCCCGAGCCCGTCCACACCCGCGGCGCCGCCGGGCATTTAAACCGCGCGCCGGGCGGGCGCCCCCGGACCGCCCCCACGCCGGGCCCAGGGGCCCGAGCCGCTCCGCTCGGCGCCCGCCCGCCCCGCGCCCCGCGCCCCGCGCCCGGCGCTCACCGCCACCGCTCCCCATCGCCACTGCCGCCGCCGCCGCCCGCGCCCCCGGCAGCCGTCAGCCCCGCGCGCCCCGCGCAGGCGCAAACCCGCCCGCCGCCCGCCCGAGTTTTCAAATGCGCCGGGCCCTCCCATTGGCCGGCCGCGGGGGGAGCGCGCCCCAGAGCCGCCCGGCCCCGGCCGCCGCCCCGCCCACCCGCCGCTCCGGGCGCTCGCCATTGGCCTCGCCGGGACGCGAATTCGAACGCCGGCGGCTGATTGGTGGGGCCCGCGCGGCCGCCCCGCCTCCCCGGCCAGGGCGGTAATGGGGCGGGGCGCCCGGGGAGCTTGCGCGGCCGGGCCGGAGGGGGCGTGTGCGCGCGTGGGCCGGGCGGTTCTGCCGCGCGCCCCGGAGCCTGGCGCTCACCCCGAGGCCGCGCGCGCAGCCGCCCGTGGACCGGGGCGCGGGACCCTCAGGGACGCGAACCTGGCTCGCCGTGCGTCCGCAGGACGTGCCCGCCGGCCCCCCGGCTGCCGCCAGCCACACCGAGCACGGCGTCCCTCGGGCCGGCACGACCCCACGGGGGAAACGCCGGGCAGAGGAGGCCGCGGCGCTTTTTCCGGAGACGCTCTGCTCACTCCCCCCTGCGCGCCCTGGGTCTGCCCCCCCTCCCCTCCCCCCCTCCCCTCCGCGTCCCCGTCCCCGTCCCAGTCCCCGCTGGGCGGCCGCGCACCTAAGCGCGCGAGGCGCTAGTCTGCAGCGGGGGACACAGAAGCAAACGGTCACACACGGGGTCGGAGGGTCCCCATGTCCCAGAGCCCGGGGGCCAGGCCCCGGCAGTCGGGGTTGAGGAGGGAGGGGCAAGGCGGTGCGCACAGGAAGCCCCGGCGGCCCCTGGTGCGCACCCGGGAGCCCGTGGAGAACCCACGATGGACTCTCCAGGTGTCTCGTCCTTCCTGGCACCTTTGGTTACTGTGTCGACCTTGTTACTGTGTCGTCCTCCTCCCCTGCACCCCTGTGACTTTGTTGCTGGTCTCCCTCCGGGCAGGGGCTCACCCTTCCAGCCTAGACTATGGTAGCGCCTTCAAAGGGTCATAAACCCTGGTCCCCACACCCACTCGCCCCCTGGACCCCAGAGAGGCATCCCTCAGTTGTCCTGTCTCTTGTCATTTATGTCCCCATCATTTTATTTATTCAGAGGTTAAGTTTTCTTATTTTTTCAGAAAACCAGTGCTGTTTCCTTGGCCATGCTGTGCGCTCTCACCTGCATACGTCGCCCTGGCAGGAAGAGCCCTGGGGGCCCCGTGGGGTGACTAGCCACTGCCAGAGGCTGAGAAGAGCACATTTACCACGGGGCACCCATGCAGCAGGATGGGAGAACTCATTGGGAAGGTCTTGATTGTTGAGGGTCAGGGATGTTCCTGGCTGGAAGAAGGTGGCCATTGAAGATATGGGGTGGGGGTGGGGGCGAATGAGAAAGGTTCAAGGACAGCAGGGACAGAGGCTGGGGGTTAGTGAAGCCTCTGCGAGCCAGAGCAATCCCACCATTCAGAGGAGAGGAGAACCAGATGCTCTGCAGAGGATGGAGAAACCTCGGGTGGAACACGAGGTGGAACAGTGCTGTCAAGTTGGGTGAGTGGTGACGGGAGGTAGAAGTTTGGTCAAAGACAGTAGACACCACTCCTCCAGAGCTTGGCTGAGAAGAGGGGGAGAGACCTAGCTGCAGAGGAAGAGCCGAGAGGGCTTTTTAGAAGGGACTGGTGGGACCTTGTTGGAGAAAGGCCCTGTGACAGGCACGTCTCAGAGGAGCGTGCTTGTGACAAAGGCACATGGCCCCATCCATCTGGGCGCGTAGGCTGGCCCTGTGGCTCTCAGGCCTGGGCTCAGTGGCTCTCACACCTGAGCTGCCTCAGAAGTACTTGTCAATGTGGGGTTCCTACAACACAGATTGCTGGGTCTCACCCCACATAGTTCTGATTCAGTGGGTCTAGGGTGGGGCCCGAGAATCTGAATTTCTAGCAAGATTCTGGATGATTCACAAGCTGCTGCTCAGGAACCCCACTTTGAGAACCTCTACCTCAGTTGAATCGTGGCGCCGCTACCTGTCAGCTGTGGAAAGTTGATGAATGTCTCTAAGTTTTAGGTTATTCATCTGAATAAGATTTCATGGGTTGATGCAAACTCCTGATATTTGTAGAGACCAGGGCAGAGAATGAGTGGAACCTCACAAATCCAAATATTGAAACACCGAAAAATTGAGACTTAGGTAGCAAACTCGTCAACCTATTCCCTTGCCTTTAGAAGGTACGGCATCATGACAATCACAGTCAGCCCCAGGCCGCTGCACTGTGAGAGGACGTGGCCGATGTTCCTCTGAGGCTGCTTTCACAGCCAGGTCTAGAGGCCATGGGGCCACCCAGATAGGACCCAGGGGATCCTTTTCCACTGACATGGAACTAGGTTCTCCACCAGGCCTCTAAGGTGAGGGGCCCCAATCTGGCAGGGAGTCACCTCGGTCCTGAGTTGAGCTCACTGGGTCTACAAGCTGCTTTTGTACTCCTTGCAGCCTGTGGCAGGCTGTGTACTCTTTATTTTTGCGAGTAAACTGAGGCAAGTGGTGAGGGAGGAAGAGAGGGAGGCTGGGAGGCAGGAGGGGAGGGAGGCTGGGAGGGAAGTTGGGAGGAAGAGGGAGGCTGGGAGGAAGGAGGGGAGGGAGGAGGGAAGGGAGAGACAAGTGGAAAGGGGCTTGGAGAGGGAGGCTGGAAGGGAGGCTGGGAGGCAGGTGGAGAGGGAGGCTGGGAGGGAAGTTGGGAAGAAGAGGGAGGGGGTGAGGTTGATGAATCCTCTGCTGGCTTGTGCTTGTTTTCTTCTTTGGTGAGGGGCATAGAGCCGGTGAAGCTCAGGAAAATGTCCTCCAAGGAGACTTGGTTCACAGAGTAGTCGTCCAGCATGAACTTCGTCTTGGCTTGCTCCAGAATGCCAAACACCTGTTGGGAAGAAGGGAGGCCCCTGTGGACGATGGGCATGACAGGGAGAAGAGAAGGCAGCAGAGAGTGGAAAGAGGGAAGGTCTTGGGGTGTGATGAAGCCCCAGAAGACCCATCTCTTTCAGCTGCCCCCAGAGCACCTTCCAAGGAGTCGGTCCTAGGGAAGTTGGCTGCCTGAGGTCTCAGGGAAAGGCACCAGCCAGGAACAGTGCCAGTGGGCAGAGGCCCCACTGGATCTTGAGCTTGTTGTGGGACCCTGGGCCTGCGGCGTCCCCTCTCCGGACCCGCTTCCCTCTCTGTGAAGTGAGGGGGCAGAAGGAGTTGATCTCAGAGGCCCCTTCCTGCTTACACATCCTTATATTTTATGAAATCAGGGTGAGCGTTACCATGGGGATGGGAAGAGGAAATGCACCAGCTTAGAATGCAGCTTCCACACAGAATAGAGAGCAAGTCACCCCAGAAAGCTGGTGACAACACAGGTTTGCTTCCTCTGAGACCCAGGTATACGCTCACCTTGGCCCAGCTGAGGTCAGCCCCGGGCAGGTGGTAATGGACCATCCCCTGGTGCTCATCTTCCAGGACGCTGCCTGCAGGAGGAAGACACGGCGTCCTCGTGAGGGCCAGGCTGGAGGGCCCGGGACCTTGGAATCACGGCCCTCCTCCCCGGGGCAGTGACAACGAGGACGAGGACGACAACAACGTGGCACCTGGCAGGGATGAGGCCCGGATGCCCTCCCTCGGCAGCAGCCAGCGGCACTCACCCGGGAAGGTCAGGTTCACAAACGCCTTGAACTCCTCTAGCGCCTCCTGCTGCCCGTCGCTCCGGACCTTGGCCCGCAGCGAGTAGCCGCTGCCAAACTTGCTCTTGAGGTGCTGTGGGCTGCCCAGGCACTTGAACTGCCCCTCCACCATGATGGCCAGCCGGGTGCACAAGGCCTCACATTCCTCCATGCTGGGGAGGGGAGCAGAGGCCTGACACAGGGCCGGGCCTGCTGGGGCCTGTCCACTGTGTTGGAGGCTCTCGCAGAGGGGGCCGGTGCGGCGGCCAGATCAAATGGTTCCTGACTCCCACGTGTAGAGGGTGGCCCCCGTGGCTAGGCGGGGCCTTTGCTCACAGCATCTGCATCCGCGGCGACCAGGGCTTCTGCCCACCTGGCCCCACCCAGCCAGCAGTTGTCCCGGCTCTTACCACTGACCCCCAGAGACCCCGGCTCTACCTGTGGGAGGTGATGACGATGGCCTTGCCTGACTCGCGGGCCCGTGCCACAGTGTCCCAGAGCAGGCGCCGGGCCACGGGGTCCATGCCGGTGGATGGCTCGTCCAGGAAGATGACCGAAGGCTCCCCAAGCAGGGCAATGCCAGTGCTCAGCTTCCGCTTGTTGCCGCCACTGGGAGCAGAGTGGGCAAGGTTGGGGTGAGTAGCAATCAACAATCAGCAGTAGCCCAGCCTCCCACTACAGACACACAGCGCCTCTCTCTCTCTCTCTCTCTCTCTCAAGGTCCACTGCCCGCCTGTAAGGTGGCATCGTGACTTGTCTGTCCAGTGTATAAATCATGGCCCTGTGGGGGGCACTGGTCCATGAGTCTTCTTTGAGAGTCTCTATGGCCAGGTAAGGACAGAGGGCCATTTAGCCAACTTTTTTTAAACGAACACATGGCATCTACAGTGTGCACGGGGCTGTTGTAAACTTCGTAAGTCTTAACTTGTTTAATCTTCAAAAGATGCTGGGAGGGATAAATACCTGCCTGAAACCAAAGCCACCAGGGAGGGAAGAGCCAAGGACTGCCTCTGGGCCCCCCAGTCCTCTCTGACTTCCCAGTCCTGGGAGTGGGATATGGCCACACACCTCCAAGGGGCACTGCGCACACCAAGGGGGAGGCTCGGGACTGGCTCTGCGTGGCCCTGGTGGGTAAGCTAAGGGTCGGGGTACACGTGGGTGGCCCCAGAAGACTGAGGAAGACCCCCACCCCCGGCCTCTCAGCGGGACATCAGCAGTATAGACCCCAGACACAGCAAGAACGTGTGCTTGAAATGCAAGGCTACCAAAACCCGAGGCCCTTTGCCAAGTGAAGGATGGTAACACCCGGTACACCGTCTGCTTATCCTCAGCCACCTACCTGGCCCCGGGTCACACAGCAGTGCCTCGGGGCAGCCCAGGCCACAGACCCTTTTGTGCTCGGGAGGTGGCCCTCCACCTGTCCCCACGGTGGCGTGGACTGCACGGCTGCCCCCAGCCTGGAGCAGACGGGCCTCGCCCGGTGCTAAGAAGGGCAAGAGCGCATCTCACCGGTGGAGGGGAAGGCCTCACCTGTACTTCCTCACCAGCGTGTTTGCGAAAGTGTACATGAGTAAGTCATCGAGGACCTGTTCCACGCAGGCGCTGATGTGGCGCTCGGGGATGCCCCGGATCCGGGCAAACATGACCAGCGTCTCCCGGCCGGTCATGTAGTTGAGCAGGGTGTCAAGCTGGGGGCAGTAGCCCACCGACTGGCGCACCTGGGGTTGGAACGCAGCCCAAGAGGGAGGCACGTCAGAAGCCGAGCCGCCAGCTGCATCGGGGCCTGGACAGCTGTGCTGGCGTTGCCCCGGCCCAGGCTCCTGCTCTGCCCTGCATAGACCCACATTTGCCTTGTGGACAGACGTGTGCCGCATGGGGGGAGTGGGGCAACAGTGGCGCTAGGGAGCCCGGGGGCAGCGCTGGCTGGTGGCGTCTGCGTGCGGCACATGCCGGGCTCTCCCCCCACCTGCCCGGCTCAGTGCCCGGCACCTCCCTGCCTCTCCTCACCGTAGGAGCGTCTGGTCAGTAGAAGATGCTCTGTTTTTTTCCCCTTTAAAAATATTTCCTATTAGGGACTCCTGGGTGGTTCAGTGGTTGAGATTCTGCCTTTGGCTCAGGGCATGACCCCGGGATCCAGGATCGAGTCCCGCATCAGGCTCCCTGCATGGAGCCTGCTTCTCCCTCTGCCTGTGTCTCCGCTTCTCTCTCTCTCTCTCTGTGTGTCTCTCATGAATAAATAAAATCTTTAAAAAAATATTTCCTATTAGACATATGACCCGTAAGTAGGTTTTCTCTGTAGAACACTCATGCAAAGGCTACTGGAATCGTGGTTGGGGTGGTGCGCACCTCCAGACTGTACGCACATGTGTGCTCCCCGCCAAGGACCAGTTGTATACTGTTTATGCCAAAACCATATCATCCTGCAACCACCACTGTGCAAATTACTTTCCTAACTCAACAGTGTGTCTTAAAGATCTTTCTCAGTCAAGAAACGCAGCTCTACTCCAACTGAATTTAACTGCTACTTAGCCATCCGGGGAAGGCTTCTAGATTTTATTTACTTATAAAAAAACAACAACTCAGGTACGTGTGAGTGATTTCCAAGTTGTCGCCTTTTTATACTTGCAGCAGACTGCCCAGGCCAAGGAGTCCTCTGGAGTAGATGACGAGAGGGGTAGCATGCTGTTTTGGAGAAATAACCAATGCTCTTCTTCCCATCCGCCTCCCCAGTGAGGGGAGGGACCGCTGTGGGTGCCCCCGGCTGGGGGTCGCAAGGCTCTGACCAGCGCAGGCCAGGAAACCCTCCGGGTGGAGAGAACCAGGGCGGGAGGTACCAGGAATGTCACACAACCAAGGGTGGGGCTTCCCCTGAAGACACCTGCCACCAGGCTGGAGCTACATGCCGGCAGGAGAAGCAGACGTGAATGAAGATGCCTCAGATGTTTCACTATGCTCGTTTCCGGTAGGTTGCCCTCATCGGCTGATTATAACCTGGTGTTTCTTCTAGTTCTTTTTTTTTCTTCTATTTCTAATTCACTAAAAATTGTTTAGAATTGTGAGTGGGATGGAGTTTTTTCTTTGATTTTGTTTTTAAAGGATTTATTTATTTGAAAGAGAGGGTGGGGAGGAGCAGAGGGAGAGGGAGGAGTAGACTCCCTGCTAATCTGGGAGCCTGACAATGTGGGGCTCGATCCCACGACCCCAGGATTATGACCTGAGCCAAAATCAAGAGTCAGACGCCCGATTGACTGAGCCACCCAGGCACCCCTGTTCCTTGCCTTTTGTAGCAGCTTAAGTGAGACACAAGCCACATACCGTGTAGTTCACCCATTCACCACATTCACTCATCAAATATGCACAATTCAGTGCTTTTTAGTACATGCAGGGGGGGTGCATTTATCATCACAGTCAAGTTTAGGACATTTCATCTGCCCCAAAGAAACCCCTGTATCCATTAGCACTCACGCCCTATTGCTTTGAATGCCCAGGGCCCCTGGCAACCACTAATATACTTATTGTCTATACGTTAGCTTGTTCTGGACATTTCACATAAAGTGAATCATATAGTATATGGCTCTTAAAACTTAAAAAAAAATTATTTATTTTAGAGAGCAAGAAAGTGAGAGGGAGCAGGGCAGGGGCAGAGAGAATCCCAAGCAGATTATCCGCTGAGTGACAGGGGGCTGGATCCCAGGACCCTGAGACCATGACCTGAGCCATAGGCAGATGTCACGGACTGAGCCACCCAGACAGCCCTAAAATAAATTTAAAAACAATTTTTACAAGGGGCATCTGGATGGCTCAGTCCATGCAGCATCTGACTCTTGATTTCGGCTCAAGTCATGATCTCAGGGTCCTGGACTCCAGCCCCCCATCGCTCAGCAGGGAGTCTGCTTGTCCCTCTCCCTCTGCCCCTCCCCGTTTGCATTCTCTCTCTCTCTCTCAAATAAATAAAATCTTTAAAAAATTTATTTAATTCATCTCTATACAACATGGGGCTGGAGCTCACGACCCCAAGATCAAGAGGCTGTACACAGCCCTCGGACTGAGCCAGCCAGGTGCCCCTAATACATGGGCTTTGGTCGCCAGCGTCTCTTGCTGAGCATGTGTGTCCCAGGTCCATCCGCGTCGTAGCACCTGTCAGAGCTCCATCCCTTGACATGGCTGAACGTTATCCCTTCCTGTGGATGGACCACATTTTGCGTATCTATTCGTCCACTGACGGACCCTGGATTGTTTCCACCTCTGGGCTGTTGGGATCCTGCTGCTGTCAACATGCATGTACAGGTGGCTGTGTGGACGTAGGCTTTCATTTCTCCTGGACACATACCTGTGAGTGGACTTGCTGGGAGTATGGGGACTTTATGTTTCACCTTAGGAGTATCTTCCTGATAATCTCTGCACTGAGGTCTTCCATCTGCTTATACTGAACAAACTCACTGATGGATCTGATTTCCGTGCACCAGCTTATTCAGGGCTGCATGTCCCATGCGCTCTGGGCTTCTCTTTCTGCTTGGCCGCTTGTCCTTGTTGATTGTTGTTCTTGTTCTCCTTCTGTCCCCCCGGACTGGCTTATCATCCCCTCATTCTTGTGGCTGTTCCCCCGGACTCTAAAGCGTGTGTCCTTGCTGTAGCGCTGGGCCCTATTTTTTTTCTTTTAAGATTTTATTTATTTATTTATTCATGAGAGACACACACAGAGAGAGAGAGGCAGAGACACAGGCAGAGGGAGAAGCAGGCTCCATGCAGGGAGGCCAAGGTGGGACTTGATCCCAGGATCCCGGGATCATGAACTGAGCCAAAGACAGATGCTCAACCACTGAGCCACCCAGGCATCCCTATTTTTTGAAAGCTTTATTGTAATGTTCCTAGAGATTTCTTTCTTGTAATTTCTCCTGCTTTTGGGCTGATAGGGATTTATTTATTTGTATCTCAATGTCTTTCATAAGTTTTAGAAGGTCACATTCATTTTTCAAAATCTGCTTTACCTTCTCTGTCTTTTCCTTCTGAGATTTCAATTACATGTCCGTTAAAGCTTCTTCACCAGATCCCCTGTATCAGATTGTCATATATTGCCGTGTAACGAGTTACCCCAAAACTTAGCCATGGTTTATTTCGTGGTTTCTGTGGGTCAGCTGGTGGATCTGGGGACAGCTTGCCTGGGTGGTCCTGGGCAGGCTCTGTCTTGAGGTGGCTCTCAGCACCCCCACCAGGCCCCCGTCCCTGGAAGCCTAGAGGATTCACTGCCGAGCTCACTCACGTCATGGTGGGCAGGCCTCAGGACTCCACCCATGCTCCGTGTTGCATGGGTCCCTCCACAGGCTGCGAGAGCACCATCAGGACGGGGCAGTTAGCCTCCCACACGGTGAGAGATGTGCGGGAGAGGGTGTACCCCACACAGAAGCTGCGGCGTCTCCTGTAACCCAGTCTCAGAAATGACCTACCATGTCTTCGACAGGATTTTGCTGACCACGTGGACCAGCCCTGGTCCAGCATGGGAGGGGCTGATTGGGAGTGCGAGCGCCAGGTTGGGGACCCCTCAGGCTGTCTCAAAGCTCTTACCTTCTCTTGGGTAGCTTCTGCCCTTTTGACTCTCCAGGCTTCGCTCTAACTTATTTTTTTGAAGAGGGTCTTTGTCTTTTATGCACATGTACCTGGTTATTTATTTATTTTTGTATATCAAGCGTTGCCTTTGCAAAATTGTTTGTAGAAATCATTTGAAGCCAAATATGGTATTATTTTTTTCCCCAGAGGTTTACATTGGCTCCCACCAAGTGCCTGGGAGCTTTGGTGGCTTTGGGTCCCATCAGCCCCATTTCAGAGATTGACATGAGTCCAAGCCATTTTGTGGTCCTTGGAGGAGCTTGTCTACATGTGGCTCATCCCTGCGCCTCGGGCTCAGCCCTTTGGCATCACCACTCCAAGAAAGGATGTGCTCACCCTGAACTCCTGCCTGTCGTTTCAGCATCAGGAGCAATCCTGGGCTCCCAGACACCCTGACCGGACGTGGTCGCCTCCCTGGGCCTCTCCCCATCATCGCTCCTGGCTCGGGAGTCTTCATTGTCTTCTCAGAAGGTTCCCTGGAGATGTTTTTAAAATTTGGTCCTGTTGTTATAGTTCTTGCAAGGAAGCGGGTCAGAGTCACATAATTTGCCATTACCAGAAGTCTTACCCATAATCTGTGTAATAGCAGAACAGTTAAAATGAGTGGTAAACGTCGCACGGCCTGGAGAGGCCTATGGTGGCTGTGGCTGCTCGCCCAGCTGTGGGTCCCTGAAGGGGCTAAAGATTCAGAACGGGCTGCGGGAGGTTCTGCTCTCCCTCTGAACGTGATTTCACTCGCAGACATTGAAGCCAGTTTGATAAACTTGGCGACACGATGGCTTATGCTGTGAAGAGGACACCTTCCATCATGCCACAGCGGCTTGGTCTCTCCCTGCGCCTTTCACTGGCTCCACCAGGTGCCAACTGCCACCGTCACTGCCACCTCCCTGCACGACCAGGGCCCGCTGGTCATTAGAGCTCCTGACCCCAGGGGCACCTGCTGGGCGTTCATGGAATTGGTGCCAGCAGTCGCAGTCCCCAAGGAGAAGCTCAGGTGTGAGGAGGGGGATGTCTGAGCAAGGCCGTCGAGGAGGCCCACGGACACCCGTCTGGCGCACAGGACTGGGGTCGCCCTGTGGAGTGGCTGAGTGGGGGCCCTCGGCAAGCAGGGGATGGGGTGCGGGGGGCAGAGTGACAAGCGGGGCCAGGCGGGGCGGCCCGTGGAGACACAGAGGTGGTGATGCAGCCCCGAGGAACGCCACGGCCTCGCGGGCAGGCAAAGAAGACCTGCGGTGGGCACGTGGACCCCAAGGGTCTTGGTGGGACGAGCTGGAGCGCAGGAGGAGGCTTCAGCTCTGGGGGGGGGGAGGGACGGGGGTTGGTGCAGGCCGCAGGGAAGGCAAGTCCCGCGGCTCCGGAGCCTCGGCCTGGGCACCGCTGGAGGGAGATGACGGGTGGGGAGCTCGGGGAAGAGGTCTGGACGGGGGTGGGGCTGGGAGTCATGCGTCAACCTGACCGGCAGGTGCACCCGCCCTGCGTCTCCCCCCCCCCCCCCGTGTGTTTCTGCACCCCCTCCTGCCAACACAGCTGTGCCTTCCCGGGTGCCACCTCCTTGTCCTGGGTCACACCCTACCTCCCTGATGTGAGAGCGGATGCTGAGCCCTCGGAGAAAGGCATCCCCAGAGGTGATGGGCTCGTCCCCAGTCAGCATTTTGAAGATGGACGTCTTCCCGGCTCCGTTGAGGCCAAGAAGACCAAAGCACTCCCCTGCTTGCACGGTGAAGGACACCTTGTTCACGGCCAGCAGGGGCACCTTGGTGGCGTAGACCTGAGAGACCCGAGGCAGACGGCGCACACTGAGGAGGCCGCAGTCAGCAGCCCGGGGCCACCCTGTGCCTGGCGCCCCGTCCCGGGTCAGGTGCCAGCCGGCCCAGGGGCTCGGAGGGGCTGGGTGAGGCTCTCTTCCCCTCCCGACAGGGCTGGGAGGTTTGCTCTCTCACTCCCGCCCCGCAAACAGAGACCTGGGTCCCCAGGATGAGCCCCTTCCCTTCTGTCCTGGAGGCTAATGAGAGCCCTTTGATGTTGGCCTGACTGGTTAGTGGGTGGGTTGGTTGGTTTTAACCACCAGTGACTCTAGGAAAGCAAAGAATAGGAACAAACGTCCTGGATGTTTGAAGGGTCTCTCAATAAAATTCTGGTGCAAGCTCTGGGGCCGACTCCCCAGGCTTGGTTTGAGCTTTCGGAGCCCCCCCACAATGAAGTCCCCCGAAAACTGCCTTCTAGACCCCAGAGAGGGTCAGCCAGCTGTGTCCAACGCCGAGGCTTCCTGGCCCTGCCCCACAGCCTACTGGGGACGCCCAGGGTCGCTATGGAGGCCCAGGCCCTAACCCCTGGCTTGCGGCACTTTGAAGGCCCACAAGCCGGGATGTGCCCCCTTGGCAGAGGAAGGCTCCCTGGGGCGTCAGGCCGGAGAGCTGGCCAGCAGCACCCGGGCCCCCTGGCGGCTGCGTCCTGTGGAAGGGCCACCAGGGCAGTGGCCTTCACTTCTCAAGGCCCTACTCACTTTACCTTTGACACTTTGTGAAGAACCAGTGGGTTTTCCTGACGCAACTTTTTCAAATACGTCGCCACCATTGTTGCCTCCTGTCCCACGTCCTGCTCTAGGGGCTCAGAAGGTGCATCGGGCGACGTTACCTGCTCTCCGGAGACGGTGCGGGGTGTGACCAGTGCTTTGTGAGGCAGGGGGCAGGGGCCAAGGGGCGCACACTGCCGCCCCTCTCTCGGGGACCCCCGGGGTGCAGCGGCCCTGGAAATGTCTCGCGGTGTTGGCTTTGGGGGAAAATGAAAAGACTTGAAGCCTGGGGATATCGAGGCAAAACAAATTAACCTCCAGAATTTCCTTGGGGGGCTTTCGCCTCTGGGAGGCGTGCAGCCTGGGAGCTGTCAGAGCAGACCCTCTGTTGGGCTCCTGGCCGAGTCAGGGGAAGAGGTGTTGTGGAAAGGGGACTGGTTTTGGGAAGTCCAAGGTCTTGTCCCTACTCAGCTGACCATGGTCACAGGGGCCCCCCGGTCCTCTTCCTCCCTGTCCCCCGGCGTGGGCCCCGGGGGTGGATTAGACGGTGTCCAGGCTCCCCCGGATGCTGACCGTCAAGGCTGCTCCCGAGCAGAGGGCCAGCCCGTCGAGCCGAGAGTTACACAACGACCCACTCACCAGTTCTCGCTTCTTGTTGCAGGTGGAAAACCTGGCTTTCAGCTCCCATAAGATGTTGGTTTCAATGAGGAAGAGGAGGATGAGGTAGACGGAGCCCAGGATGGCCAGGGCCGTCAGGTACTTCCCCATCCCAAGGGACTCCCAGGCATAGATGCTCTCCTGGACCGTGAATCCCTCTGCTAACGGGGAAGAAGCACATGTTGCCAGTCCTTGGCTGGCTTCCCAGCCTTACCTCACCTCGTGGGTCGAGTGGGTGAATTCCTACCGGGACAGACCCCCTTGAAATGACTCGTGAGTGTCATCAGTGCTGATGTCCCGGCAGGTGGTAAACGTGAACTGTATTTTGTTCTTGTTACCACCCATGTTCCCTACAAGTGATGCAGTAAAGTCAAAGCCCCCACCGTGTCCATATGACAGTTGCTCAAAATGCAAGATATTCCTATGTTTGGCTCTTTGATCATTTGTCAGCCACTGCAGCCTCAACCAACTGGTCACGTCAAAACATCCAGGAGCCTCTGATCCCCACTTTGTAATCTGATCTACCTTAACATTTCCCTTTATTTTTGTTTTAAAGATTTTTATTTATTTGACAGAGACAGAGAGTGCAAACAGGGGAGCAGGAGGCAGAGGGAGACGGAGCAGCAGCCTCCCCCGCTGAGCAGGGAGCCCAACGGCAGGACTCGATCCCAAGAGATCAAGACCTGAGCTGAAGGCAGACGAGTCACTGGCTGAGCCCTCCAGGCGCCCCCACATTTTCCCTTTAAGTAGATGTAGTAAAAAAAATTATATCATAAATACACACTCATTGGAGAAAAGGGACAAGTATGAGGGAGAAGAGAAAGGTACTCCCTGGGGTGCCTGGGTGGCTCAGTGGTTGAGCATCTGCCTTTGGCTCAGGTCATGATCCTGGGGTCCCAGGATCCAGTCCCTCATCGGACTTCCCTCAGGGAGCCTGCTTTTCCCTTTGCCTGTGTCTCTGCCTCTCTCTGTGTCTCTCGTGAATAAATAAATAAAATCTTAAAAAAAAAAAGAAAGATACTCCCCTACCCCCAGACTATTGTTACGGTTTGTGTGTAATCCTTTACCCTTCTGAGACACAAGCTTTTAAGATATAATCGGAATGATACTCTGCATTATTTTCTCCAACTCACTAGTTTCATTCAATAATATATAGCAGACGGTATCAGGACATAGAGATCACAATAATAAAGAGCTCTGGCAAAGGTAAATACACAGACAATTATAAAAGCTAGTGTTATTGTGAGTTGGGTTCACAACTCCACTTGCAGTTTTCCACATGATTGAAGAAACTGATGCATAAACACAATCATTAGTCTACATTTCTGGATAAACAATATGCAACGATTGGAGGTGCGTGGGGAAGGGACTGTATAGGAGCAGTTTCTGTGTGATTGAAGTCACGCTGATATAAATTCCAATTAGAATGTTGTAACTTGAGGGTGTTAATGCAATTCCCATGGTAACCACAAAGAAAATAGCCCAAGAATATGCACAGAAGGAGATGAGAAGGCAATTAGGAAATCTCTTATGAGGTCCCTAGAGAGGAGGAATTCACAGTCACAAGAAGTGAGGTGGTGGGTGCCAAGGCCTGGGCACGGGGAGGTGGTGTTTCATGGGGACAATTTTGGTTTTGCAGGATGAGAAAAGTTCTGGAGATGGCAGTACTGCAGTGTGAGTGTGCCCCATACCGCTGTATTGTAGACTCAAGAATGGTTAAAATGGTAAACTTCATATACATTTTAACATAATTTAAAAAATGAATACTTTAGGGGCTCCTGGGGGGTGGGGCTCAGTCAGTTGAGCATCCGACTTTTGGTTTCAGCTCAGGTCATGATCTTGGGGTTGTGGGACCAAGCCCTGCATCAGGCTCTAGGCTCAGTGAGGAGTCTGCTTGAGATTCTCTCCCTCTGTGCCTCTGCCTGCTCATTCTCTTTCTCAAAAAAAAAAAAAAAAGAAAAAGAAAAAGAAAAAAAAGAATGATTTTAAAAGGTATTGGAAAGAAATTGGAACCCTCACATGTCCCTGGCAAAGGGTAAAATGGTGCAGCCATTGTGGAAAGCAGTTTGGTGGTTTGTCGAGAAGCTAACCACAAATTTGTTCCTAGGTATATACTTGAGAAAACTGAAAACACACTCACCCAAGAGCTCGTACATGAACGTTCCCAGCAGAATTCGTAACTAAGGCAGTGGAAACAACCCATCTGTCCATCACATGATGAACAGATAAATTGTGGTCTGTCCACACGCTGGAATATGATTCAGCCATGAAAAGGGAACAAAGCTCTGACACCTGTTACCACATAGATGAACCTCAAATGCATTATTCTGAGAGCGGTCAGACACAAAGGACCACATATCATGTGCTTCCTTTGCTGTGAAACGCCCAGAACAGGCAAGTTCACAGACATAGAGAGCAGAGTTAATGGTTGCCAGGAGCCCGGGGTTGGGAGTGTGTGGGGGAAAGGCTGTGAATGGATGGTGTTCCTTTCTTGGGGTGATGGGAACATTCTGGACTTGGATCATGGTGATCCTTTTTTTTTAAAGGGTTTTATTTATTTATTCATGAGAGCCACAGAGAGAGAGGCAGAGACATAGGTGGGACTCCATCCCAGGACCCCGAGCCCACGACCTGAGCCAAAGGTAGACAAGACGCTCAACCACTGAGCCACCCAGTTGCCCCGGATCATGGCAATCCTTGTACAACCTTGTGGACGTGCCCAAACCTGCTGCATCGTATCCTGTGAAAGGGCGAATTTCCATTTGCAATACTCACAAATTTCATTACACTCATACTGGCTCAGGTTCTTGATTTTGCATAACTTCTGCATTCCGTGGTTGTAGTATAGGTTGAATAAAGCCATTCCCAAGCAGTGGCCAGGAAGCAATAGGAACGTATGGTCCAGGGAGTCTGACACTGTTGTGTAGCCAAGCTCTGTGAAGGGGGTAGAAAATACTAACTCACTTGTAGGAAGAAAGGGGCTCATCTGCTCGGCACATGTCACACTCCCAGGTTCCAGACCAGAGACCTGGCTACCCCTTGGCAATCATGCAACCTCCACACCGTAAACAGTTTTCTTTGGCAATGCTTCTTAGCCTGTCATTTCACTTCTATTGCAAGCATTCATGAAGAAGAATGCCAAAGAGCTTTGTTTGGGAAAACCAGCAAGAGCGTGGCTGCTGCATGGAGTGCATGTGCAGAAGGGGTCAGGGTCTGGTGGGCCGGCTGCAGGGTGTCCTCATACAGGAGGTAAGGACACAGTCCCCACCTTGAGAGTTTGTGGAGACAAAGCCATCATTTGCAGATGCTAGATGCTACCGTGTGCCTGGCCACAAGAATCAACCAAAGTGCTCTAAGACACTAAAGTCAGTATATTGGCTGGTCGTGAACTAAATACACAGAAACTGGGGCCTCTTAGAGGTTAAGAGAAGCCAATTTTTAGATTCGTGTTATATTACAAGGTGAAGAAATGCCAAACAAGGGTATGAAGAAATTGAAGCATATATATTTAAAATAAATGTTTATTCACAACAAATAAACACAAGTGCTCTGCAAAAGAAAATTCTGCCGATAAGCTGATCACAAGAGGATGAACTCATCGTGTGCAACATGGGGCACAGGCCAGTGACAGACCCATGTGTCTAGCTCGCTGACATCCCGGAGCCTCAGCCACGGCACGGGCTGCTGTCTGCGTCCTTCACACGTCCCAGCGCATCCTCACCTACAGAAAGGAGAAACTGAGGCATGGGGATTGGAACTCTAACTTGGGACGTTGTGACAACTCACACGGCTGTCTCCGAAGCCATGGGTAATTCAGGGGAGGGAGCCCGTGGACACATGACTCACAGGTCCCACGGGAAGAGGCTGAACCACTTAGACAAGAGGAACTCTGCTCTCAGGACTTGGATGTAGATTCTTGCCAGCAGGGCCCCTGTGGTTTCTGAGGGGTTGAACTTGGGATATGAGGTCTCCTGGGCCAGGACTCCAAACGGTGGCTGCAGAGACTCGGCGCACCTAGGGGGCACGAAGCAGTTTGGGCGGCACTCCACACGCTCGCTGAGATGCATGCCCCCAGGCCCGAGGGCCATGGCCCTGGTGACCAGGCCTTGCGCCGTGCCCGGGACCGCAGGAAGGCGGCAGATCCGACTGGGAAGGAGGCACAGTGGGTTGTGCCCCACTGATTTGCTCTCTGTAGAATTCTAAATTTGGAAATCTAGTCTGGAGGCTGAGGAGGAGGGGACAGGGGACAGATACCCGCCAGCACAGCAGCCTTGCCGCTCCTCCGTGGGGTGGAGGGAAAGGCTGAGTAGACGGCATTCGCGAGCCGGGCCTAGGACCGAGCGGTCAGCCTGGCGGGGTCCCCGGACCCTTCCCCCTAGCTTCCCCAAACCAGAATCGGAGAGCATGTCCACAAGCTGTACATCCAGATATTTATGGCTCCTTCTTTCTCTCTGGATCCTACATCCTACCCCAAAACTGCCCAAAGGCCAGGAAGAGGGCATGAGCCCGGGCGGGACCTGCTCCTCTCTGGCCCCAGCTTGCTTTGTTGCTCTGCTCCTTCCCTTCACTGGCCCACGACTTTCCGTTGACGTTCCAAGGAGGAGACGCAGTGGGTCCAGTTTCCCTTGGCGCGGCTGAACTTGCCTTGGTTCTGTCCTTGCGCAAGACTGGCCGCGGAATTGCGCCTTGGACTTGGCCTCTGGGAAGCGTCTGGATTTAAGGCCTGGATCTTCTCCCTTCAGCTTCAGACGTCCGACGGATGCCTTCAGTCTTGAGTTGGTCTGTTTGCAACTCTGGGAGATCTTCTTGTTGGGTTCAAGTCCACGTTCTCTTTGGGCAGCGCTTGTCAGTGGAGGGGCCACCGTCCTGGACCCTCTCCCCACACCTGCTCCTGGATCCTCTCCCTGCACCTGGGCCTGGGCCCTCTCTCCACACCAGCACCTGGGCCTGGGCCTGGCCCTCTCCCCACACCTGCACCTGCACCTGGACCCTCTCCCCACACCTGCACTTGGGCCTGGCCCCTCTCCCTGCATCTGCCTTAGCCCTTCCTGTCTTTCTGCTCCACCTTCTGGGAGGTCTACGGGCTCATCTTCCAACCCTTCTGCTAAGTGGTTATATCAGCAGTCAGCTCTTTCTTGCTCTCAGTTTTTTTTTCCTTGTAGAATTCTCTGGTTTCATAGATGCTGTCTTTTCCAAAATGGTTGTTTTGTGTCCTGCATTTCCCTGTGTTTCATTTTTGGTGGTGTGCTGTGCTGTCTCTTCCGTGGCTGCTGTCCTCAAGTGTTCAGTGGGGCCCCTGCCTGCCTATCCACAGAAACAAAAGAGGCACTGGGAGGCGACTGCTAACTTTGTGTAGGGGCAGGTAACATTTGGGACAAGCAGGCCGGGGAGCAGTTGGAATGTGCAGGTATCTGCTCACAGCAGCTTCAGTTCATCAAGAGGACGGGTCTCTGCCTCCTGGCAAGCCTGCCCGTGCATTCTGTGTTTCCTGATGGGGACATGGGGACAGGAACAGGCACAGACTGTTTTCAGCCTCACCTTCCCAAGCTTCTGGGTCCCAAGTGTCTCCAGGATTCACTGGCGCTAAATTAGGTCCGTGCTCAGCCATTTCCCCCTCCAAATGCACTTCAGATGCCTCTTCATCAGGAATTCATACACTTTTATTTCCTTTTCTATCATTTTAGTAGAGTCTTAGAAAAAAGGGAGCACCGATTTAGCTTTATATCCTTGACTCTGTACTGCCATGGTGATAGCATCCTGATGAGGCCCTAGTGCAAGTGCTTAGGGGCCAAAGTGTCCTATCGGTGTCCTTTCTCAGGGGGTAGGAATGGAGTGCACAAAGGAACCGGCACGCTTTCCCCCAGACCAGAGCTCCTTGCCTCATCCCAGTCTCCTTCTCTATGACTTTTAAGGGAGATGGTGCCAGGCGGGAGAAGGGTCTAGGCGGGAGAAGGGTCTCGGTCCTTGTTGCTGCCTAGGAGGGGACAGAAGAAATGGGTCCCAGAAAGGTCTTAGGACCCAGAGATCATGTCCACAGACCCATGCTCCCTGGCTTGGTCATTCTCTCCGAAGGCTCTGTCCCTGTCAGGACCCCTCAGGGTCTCTCTGGGGTGGGGTTGGTGGCAGAGGAGAAGAGAAAGGGAGGAATCCTTAGGTACTTTCTGGAGACTAGGGCAGCGCTGCTCAGAGCAATTCCTTGGATTGCCCACATTGGGATCAACGGGGGTGTGTCTTGAAATGCTGACCCATGAATCTCAGATGCTCGGTGCAGCCGAGGACTGCAGGGTTGGGGTTCTCTTAGGATGTGCTTTTGCTAACCCCTTCCCTCATCTGCAGCACGCTGTTGTTCTGTTCCACTCAAAGTCAAGATGGTGTTGCTTTTCTGATCTGCTCAGATGAAGATAATCCCAATCCCCAAACTTCCCAGGTGGTATGCATGGGAACTAGCAAGGGTGCCATGCAATGCGGCCCGTTAGACCAGTAAAGCATGCACTGTCAAGGTGGCTAAGAATCCATGCATGGCTAGTCTTCTAAGAGACAGAATGGCTCCAATAGATGAAGGCAGAGGGAGCTATTCACATATTCTTAGGTAGAGACACCACCAACAAAAACCCAAAAGTCAATTTCAAGGAGGTGGTCATCACCCAAGTAAATGGGGAAGAGAATCACGGAGCTGGATCCAACCCAGATGCCGAGAGAAGATGCAGCCCACACGGGAAGATGTCAGTGTGAAGGTGTACGGTATGAATGACAGCTCGCTCTCCCGTTACTTTGACCTGAACTGCACACTCCCTCACAGCCCTCCCCCAACCTTGGCTTATTGATCCACTTAATACCTTTTTTTAAATTGAGGAATAATGTATTTCAATGAGATGCAAGTGGACAATTTAATGATTTTTGACAAATATTGATGCCCACGTGACCAACACCTCACTCAAGATGCAGAGTATTTCCAGGAGGTTCCTGGGGAGGTATGTCTCTGTTTTGTCAACTCCCCTCCCCCAAACTCTGAGGCCACTGCTTTCCTGACTCTGTCGCCAGGATTTGTCAGGTCAGTGGGGTCAGATATCATTCACACTGCCGCATGTGTGCACCAGGCACTTTGCTCCCTTTCTGTTGCTGAACATAATCCACTGGATGAACATAACCACCACATCTCTCCACTCTCCTAAAGATGTGTGTTTTGGGACATGGTTTGGGGCTCTTCAGAAGACAACTTTTGGGAACAGCCTGATTCTCGGGGGGACATCTTCTGTGGCTGTGAGTGGAAGAATGAACCCCCTGCGTGTTATATAGATATGACAGTCCTCGTCCTCACCTTTTTCACTTGTGACTGAGACGAGAATAAAGGGGCCAATGCTCAAGAAGGTGAGTATGATGATGAGCTTGATGAAAGCACTACCTTCGTACTGAAAGCAGAAGCTGGTCAGGTAGATGAAGGGGATGCTGGCCCAGCTGTAGAGCATTAGCACCAAGATAACGGCCGGGATATTGTCCTTGTGTGTAAAGGCCTCTTCCTTGTAGTGCAGAAACACCACCTTGGGGAAGAGGGGAGAATTAGGAAAAGTCACTAAGACTTGATCCTGAGGACTAGAGGAAGGATACGATGGTCCCAACTTTAAAAGCTAAGATGTTAGTGGTACTGCACTGGTGTGGACTTGTCCAACCGCGCAGACAGCTGGCTCTGCCCCTAGACGTCAGCAGCACGAGGTCAGGGGCACAGTGATGGTTACAAAACATAAGCAGAGCAGAGGGGGGATGTGATGCCTCCCGCACAGAGCGCAAGGGGATCCGCAAGCTGCGCAACGCAGTCACAATCCACCCTTCGGTGCTCTGGTGAGCTGTCTCTGGGCTACGAGCTACACACCCCGGATGCACTGCCTCTGACTAGCAGGTGGCAGCGGTCACGGGGATGCCGCAGATTGGAGACCGTAGAACAGGCCCCTCTGCCCCTCACGATGTTTTGACCTGTTTCTGAGTGTCAGCGACGGACAGAGTCACAACCCTGGGGGAGCGGCCAGCTCAGGGGCTCTTCGCAGGGCCCCTAAAGGCAAGCCCCCCATGACGCCCAGGGGAGGGTCCCAGCACCACGCAGCCCTCACCAGCAGCAGCAGACTGGGGACGAGGGAGGTGATGAGGTCCCACAGCAGAGCGGAGAGCCAGAACGTGGCCACATAGACACCGCTGGTGAGCTGGATGTGCTTGGCCCTCGTGGCTCTCTCTTTGACTGTCAGGATGGAAAAGGAGCTGGACAGGAAAGCTATTCCAAAAAGCAAGTGGATGACAAGATAGTGTCCTTTGGGGCCCCTGCGGCAGGACATGGAGAGAGAGGAAGCCGTTTAAGTGGGACTCGCAGGAGCCACCTCTACAAGAACGGTTCGTCATGCTCCTCTTGGAGCAAAGAAGAAACAGGTGGCAAGAGACTCCATGGGGTGGGGAGGCTTTACTGGGGGGCGGCGGTGGCACGTACTGGTACAAGATATCCTCCAGGGCCTCCACGGCCGACTGAGGTTGAGGGTGGTTGACGGCAGTGATTGAAGCCCGGGCTCCTGAGAGCAGCTTGAAGAGGACGTTGTCCACCAGCGCCAGCGCCACGGCAGGGGAGTGGTAGGCCTGGTTGTTGAACAACGCCGTCACCGTCGTGCGGTTCCCCGAGTCCTCAAAGGAAGCGGCCACGATGTATCTGTTATTGAAGCTCTCGGGCTCCTCCTCTGCCCTTTTCAGGAGGAGGTCCTCCACCAAGGCTGCGGGACAGCAGAGCGAGCCAGAGCTCCCACCCGTCCCTCGTCCCTGGGCCTCTCCTCGCCCACCCACCCCCACCTGAGGGGGGGCTCCCCCGGACACGGCTGCCACCCTGATCCCGGTGACCCCTGCGCCTGCAGGGCCGCCTCCTGCCCGGGCGCTCCACTCTGGGGGCCTCTACAAAACCCTTTGGTCGACAGAAGCAGTGGCGGGGGCGAGGTCTAGGCATCTTTCCAGCTGTCTGTTCTCTGCCACCCCCGGGGCCTTTGTCCGGCCCGGGCGCCACCACCCTTGCCTGGGCTGCGTGGACGACACACGTGGTCACGGTGCCTCAGTGACCCCTCACTGGCACCGGCACCTGAGCGCCCCATCACAATCCAAGCTCTGCTCTCATCCTCAGTTCTTGCCTCTCCTAAGGACCCCCTGTTCTCGTGCTTATAGATGCTGTCCTGTGGTTCGGGGCGTGCTCCGCTTCTCTTCTCCGACCGAGAGTCCAGTCTGTCCCTGCGCACACCTCGGGCTCTCACCTGCAGCCACTCGGCTCCCCTCCAGGCCGAGCTATGCCCCTGCGCTCCCACAGCACTCTCATTGTACCCACTGTCACTTTGCGCTGCAAATGTCCCCCTTTCTCCTCTGACTTCTAGGCGAGGGGCTCACTACGGGCCGACCGGTAGTAACCCTGTTGGTCACTGTGCTCTCAGCACACAGCACCACAGAAATACATGACCCACCTAGAACTCCGGGATCTTTAGTGCGAGAAGGGACCTGCTATCATGGCGACCGTGGTAACCACGCAGCTGGCGGGACCCCACTGCAGGTCCAGCGTGTAGACCCTTGGCAGCACTCATGGAGGAGGCAAGGATTATCCTGCTCCCCATTTTGCCACACCACATTCTGCATTTGATCTCTTTATCTTAAAAAGTAGATACTTGGGGCAGCTGGGTGGCTCAGTCGGTTAAGCACCCGCCTCCGGCTCAGGTCATGATCCCAGGGTCTTGGGATGGAGCCCTGCATCTCCTTCTCCCTCTGCCTGCTGTTCCCTCTGCTTGTGTGCTCTCTCTCTCTGTCTCTGTCATATAAATGAGTACAATCTTTTAAAAAATACTTTAAAACTTCATTTTTAGTCAAAATAACACATGAAATATAAATTTTAAAACCAAATAATCATACAAGACTCACAGTGCCCTCTGAGTGAGTGAGGGGCAGTGCCCTGGCATGCCCCTCGCTGTCCACAGTGTCTGCTCAATGGGGACAGCCACTCTCAAACTGTCCAGCTGGCATTTCTCCAATTGCTAAGTAGCACATTTACCTATTGGTGTCCTGTTATGGAAGCAAGGACTTTCGTCTCCCCTCCCCTATGCTACATCATAAAGTTGGTTAAATCAGTTCACAGCTGAACCAAGTGATATGTTTCCTTTTTTGTACAACCTCCCCCTGCCCCAGAGTTAATGTCCTTCCTTTTCTTCCTTTTTTTTAGAGATTTATTTCTTTTTAGAGAGAGAGAGAGAAAACAGGAGCATGCACGTGCGCCAGGGGAGAGGCAGAGGGAGAGAGAGAATCTCCAGCAGACTCCTTGCCCAGCGTGAAGCCTGAATCAGGCCTTGAGCTCACGACCCTGAGATCATGACCTGAGCTGAACTCAAGAGTCAGATGATCAACCTACTGGGCCACCCAGGTGCCTCATGTCCTTTCTTTTCATGTTTGTGTAGCATTCTCTACCTCTGTCACCGAACTCACACCACAGACATGTAAATCTCTTGGGACACGTCAAACACATCAGATAATCTATGGATTTTGTTTTGGGACCTGCCGCTGTCCCCAGAAAGACACAGCCTGGTTTCATTTCTAGGCATCCTCCCTTCCCTGTCATCTGGGGGGTTAAAGACATTTTTCTGACACTTCCAGTGGGCAGTTCATCTAACTTCAGGGAGCACCATGTGGCCCCAAAGGACGGGGGCCCTGCCCCGCTGAGCCTCAGACTTACTTGGAGTCTCCAGAGGGATCTGCTCCTCCGCCACGAGCATGTCTGTAAAATATTCCGAAAGCTGAGGATTCAGCCTGGAATTGGGGGAGATATAGAATGGGACGATGGTTTGACCGTATGTTTTTAGGGTCAATTCCAGTGGGACATCATCCAGACGCGTTTCCAAGTTGAGGAAGGCAAGGCTGAAGACGGTGATCGCCAGAGGCACCAGGACCTGCACCGTTAGCATCATCATCCAGTTGCGCCAAGAGTACGTGATCTTTTTCAGAAGCATGGCATAGAACTGTTGGCAGATGAGGCTGAGCTGGAGAGAAGAGGAGCACCCCATTAGTGTGGCCATGGAGAGGAGCTGCTGGCCGGCTGCACGGCCCCTGGCCCACACCCAGCTGCCCTCTCTCATAGGGGGGCTAACATTTGGATTACGTTCAGAATTTGCCACAAGTTAAAATTCTTTTCACCTAGTGACTCGACTGACAATGGCAGAAAAAGAAGTCATACATTGGAAAGATCTAGAAGAGTTGCCTACACAGATAGCAAACGTAAGTATGATACAACTTTTTTCCTATACCTACCAGGTTATCAGAGATCTTAAGTTGGTGAGACTATGGGGAAAATACCACTGGGGGAGTTTTAATTTAGTACATTTTTTTTCAGAAAACACATTAGCTAGAGGAATCCGATTGAATTTAATGTTCATATAGTCTTTTAACTCAGAATTCCACTTGTGGTGACGTATCCTACAGGAGTGCCAGTGTAAGAACGCAGGACCCGGGCACGGATGGTAAATGTGAAGCGTGTGGTCCTGAAGACCAAGATACACAGGTGGGCCTGGGGTGGGAGACCCTGAGGGTCAGCACCGTGGGCTCCCACTCTGCTTCTCATCAGTGCTGCCAGAGCCTGGGTAGGGAAGAGGCCGGGACTCGTCTACCCAAAGCCTTTGTGGGAAGAAGCGAGGTGGTCTGGTTTGACTCAGGCGCTCCTAAATTCCCGGCCCCAAATACCGACAAATCCCTGAAAGTCTCTACCAAGCAACCCTGAAATTTCCCACACTGGACATGGTGGAGGCCACAGTCACTGGAAGTATTCCTCAGGAGGCACTGCTTGCACCTTGTCGGAAGTGGTATCCTGAGAAATACTTCCTGGGAAGTCTCCAGAAGCAAAGCTTGGCCGAGTGGAGCCCAGATGGACCTCTTACTGGAGGCTGGAGAGCAGCTTACTGGAGGTGGCTGGTGGAGATGACCCCGAGACCCTTTCCAGCTCAGGGGCTCCATGGATGACAGCTTCCTCTTTCTTATGCAGTTCAACATAATGATACAATGGAACCAATCTCTTCCCTAACCCATGGAAACCAGTGTCACTATTTTACAGTCACACCTTGTGGATGCCCGAATCAAGACCACTTTGCAAGATGCACATCAATGTTCTTTTTTTTTCAACAATAAAAGAACATTATAGGTTACCCATATATTTCATAAGGATGTTTAAAAAAATCCTCAACTCCAGGTGATGTAATGTGTGATCTGTTTCACAGCAAAAGATGAAAAAGTAAGATTAAACATGCTTTTGTGGCCAGTAGGCTCAGTACTTTTATTCTTTCTTCTTGGTAAGAGGAAGGACCAAGACCTTTCCTGTAACCTCTACTGTGATCTTTTCTGATACTTCGCCCATTGGGTTAATCCTGGTCAGGAAACCCTAGCGTGTTGCCTTTGAACTAGAGCCGAGAATCTGGCATTGCTGAAACCTAGCAGGGCCTGCCTTTCTTTTATGCTAAAAATCTGCACATTTTTTCTCAGGCCTGTGAGAGGTTGACCTGCATTTCTTGAATAGCGTGATTCTAAGAATTGCACCAAAATCTGCCCTCTTGCTTGCATTTGAAATACTTGCTCACCCCCGTGTTCATATGGATTGGCAGGCCAGACCGTAATGAGAAGATCCTGGAGTGAATGCGTTTAATCCTGCTGATAGGGATTCTCAGTTGGGACTGCATCAAGGAGGTCTTGAGGGCTTGGATATCTGTGCTGGTGTCTGACAACTTGTTCACCCTAAACCGAAGCCAAAACAAAGAGAAATGCAAATTTACAAATTCACAACTCACTTGGGTTTGTTTGGATTTAAAGAGTCTTCAACAGGCCCTGAGTAAATATTGAATTAACCGAATATTGAATTAACTAATGACCAAGGGCTTATCCAAACAACTGAGGCGAAGTTAGCATGAATAGATTCAATTATTTTCCTTGAAAGATGCCATATGCAAATTAAAACAGAAATGAAATATCACTTAATATCTATCTTATGAGCAAAATCATCCATTATAGCGTGCGGCACTGCTGACCCTCTAGGCCAGGGCTGGGTGAACTGCAGCCCGGGCCAAATCTAGCCAAGGCCTTGTTTTTCTGTTTGGCTCTGAGCTCAGAATGGATTTTTGTAAATGGTTACTGGTTAGATGGTTATCTAATTACCTACATATTCTCCTTGATTATGCCCCTGAGTCTACATAGCCTAGAATGCTTACTTTCTGGCCTTGGGAGAAAAAGTTGGCCGAACCCTGCTCTAGGCGAAAAGACGCTTTCATTGCTGGCAGCAGACTGTTAAGAAGGCAAGATATATATTTTTGTTCACAGTCTTTGGGTCAATTATTCTACTCCTGGGAATTTGCCACAACAGAATAACCCAAAATAGCCCCAGACGGAAATGGCTCATTTTCCATCCAGTACAGTTGGGTAAAATACCCTGTGCGTGTTCCCTACTGCTGTGGCACAGATTACTCCCAAATATAGCAGCTTGAAACAACCGTAAGGGTTTATTCTCTGTGTGTCAGGAATTCAGGAGCATCTGGCGGGTGGTGAGGCACAGCAGGCCTGGCCAGAGCTGCAGTGGCCCGAAGGCAGGGCTGGGGCACGAGATTCCACTTCCGAGATGGTGCCCTCACCTGGCCGGTGCACAGCTAGCTCTCCCAGGGTAGTTGTGACGAGAATGTTGGTTTTAATTAACGGGGATGATCAAGGTAAAGGTGAGATAGCAAAGACGTGTGTCAGAGCGTCACACGTTCATCCCTGAGGTGAGCAACACTGTCGTTGAGTTGAATGATACTTTTTTTTTTTCTCTCTAAATACTTGAAGGAGGGTAGCCTGGGTGGCTCAGCGGTTTAGCGCCGCCTTCGGCCCAGGGCCTGATCCTGGAGACCCCAGATCGAGTCCCGTGTCAGGCTCCCTGCATGGAGCCTGCTTCTCCCTCTGCCTGTGTCTCTGCCTCTCTCTCTCTCTCTCTCTCTCTCTCTCTCTCTCTCTGTGTGTCTCTCATTAGTAAATAAGTAAAATCTTAAAAAAAAATACTGGAAGGATATTGCCTCAAGTTTTTGTGCTCTCCTTAACAAAATGACTCCAGATATAAGACACTTTTATTTTATTTTATTTTTTAAAAATTTTTTAAATTTATTTATGATAGTCACACAGAGAGAAAGAGAGAGAGGCAGAGACACAGGCAGAGGGAGAAGCAGGCTCCATGCACCGGGAGCCCAACGTGGGATTCGATCCCGGGTCTCCAGGATTGCGCCCCGGGCCAAAGGCAGGTGCCAAACCGCTGCGCCACCCAGGGATCCCCAGATATAAGACACTTTTAAACTTAATTTGCATTATTTTTTTAAAGGTTTATTTATTTATTCATGAGAGACACAGAGAGAGGCAGAGACACAGGCAGAGGGAGAAGCAGGCCCCACACAGGGAGCCTGACGTGGGACTCGATCCCAGGACTCCAGGTTCACGTCCTGGGCCAAAGGCAGGTGCCAAACCACTAAGCCACCCAGGGATCCCCTACTTTGCATTATTAATGTTGTCTTCATCACTTACTCAATCTAGATATTCAACAAGACAATAAATTAAACCTCAGTGAAAGGTGTTTACCAAGGTCTACGGTGTAAATACTCTCACCGTGGTTTTGATTGCAAATCATCATCACAACGCGTCCATCACACAGATAGAAGTAGATGTGAATAACCTCAGGAGCACAGATAGTAGAGTGTAGCCAGATCATGAGGAGATGAAGTCTCGGTATTACCGTTTGTGATATTGTGATTTATAATAAGAAATATATGCTTGGTCTTCATTCTGGTCCTGGCACTGAGCTCCAAAAATGTTTACAATTTCCTAAGTGGAGGTGGCAGTTAAGGTGTGTTTTGTTTGTACGAATGACTGTGGCTTTTGGAAAGCATCCGCGGATCTGGATTGGGGCCACTGGCCAGGAGAACCATCCATGTGATGGCAAAGTTGGAACTTCCAGGCCCACCTCCCAACCTCCTGGGAGGGGACAAGGGGCTGGAGACTGAGTCCGGGCACCAGCGGCCAATGATTTAATCAAACAACCTTGTGTATGTGATGAAGCCTCCGTAAAAACCCAAATGGGCAGGGTTTGGAGGGCTTCCAGGTTGGTAGACCCTGTGGAAGTGTGGGGACAGTGGTGCCCTCAGAGATCATGGAAGGTTTGAACTCTTTCCCTGTGGTTGTCCACCTGGATCCTGTATCCTATCCTTTATAATAAACTGGTAAATGGAAGCCAGTGTTTCTCTGAGCTCTGTGAGCCATCCTAGCAAATGAATTGAAGGGGGAGTTGTGGGAACATCCAGTTTATGGCTGGTGGGTCAAAAGCACAGGTGGCCACCTGGACTCGTGACCAGGGACTAGAGTTGGGAGGATGGGGGGGGCAGTCTTGTAACCCTGAGCCCTTAACCTCTGGGATCTGATGCTATTCTCTTAGACACGTAGTGTCAGCATGGAGTTACCAGCTTGGTGGTGTGGGAAAAACCACACTCTGGAATTGGTATCACAATTGTACCACTGTTTTTACTGTGATTTATTTATAAGCTTGTGCAATTTAAGTTTTATTAATTGCTGTGTTTAACTGGCTCGCACAATTCTTGATGACTTAATGATCGGCTCTCATGAGCCAATATGAGCCAGCTCCAGCATACCTCTGGCAGGAGCCCCAATTCCTCGTTGGCTGTTGGCAAAAAGCATTAGCTCCTGGCCGCATGGATTTCTCCCTAGGGCTGCCTGTGTGTCCTCACAAGACGGTAGCTGGCTTCTCCCAGACTGAGCAGAGAGAGAGAGAGAGAGAGAAAGGGAGCACGGGACTACAATACTTCTGTGACCTAGCCTTATTAGGCACATAGCCGATTCTGCAAAATCTTGCTGCTTATACGGGTCAGCCCTATTTACGGTGATAGGGTGAGGCAGGAGTGGGCACCAGGGGAGCCTCATCGGAGCTGCCCTGGCCTTGTTCCCACAGACCGTGTGCCCCGGAGGCCCTCCTCGCCTTTGCTGAGGCTCTGCTTCTCTCCACGGTTTCTCCCTGACTTTTCTAGGCTTTCTACTTGTACATCCTTTAGCTTTTCTACACCTTGTGGGATACTAGCAACAATTATCAGAATTTGTGGCGCCTCTGGTCAGGACTTCATCTGGTACCCGAGGTGGATGTGTTGGGGAAGACAGCACATGGCACTTCACCACAATGTTTGCTTTGGCCCCATGAAATGTCATGGCATAAGGTTGTATTTTGTTTTTTAAGATTTTATTTATTTATTTGAAAGAGAGTGCATGAGAGGGGACAGAGGCAGAGGGAGAAGCAGAGTCCCCACCGAGCGGAGAGCCCGATGCGGGGCTTGATCCCAGGACCCCAGGATCATGACCTGAGCCGGAGGCAGATGCTTAACCCACTGAGCTACTCAGGTGCCCTCTAAGGTTACATTTTTAATTTTTCTTCCTCATTTGGTTTCTGCTAGTATAATTTGTTTTTTTTATTAGATAACGGTGTTGTTTATTAAGACTGAATTTCAGGAAGGGAGGGAGGGGAGTTTCCTACAGATGGAGGTTGGCGCACACTGCCCTCCTTCAGGCATCAAACGATAGACTTTTGCAGGGTGCAGACTACGAGCTCCCCCGAGACCTTCTGCACCGCGGTAGACGGCGTCTCACAGACCCCCCAGACCCACCTCCGAGTGCTCGCACTCTGCCATCATCTGCCTCATTTTCTTCCCAGTTTTATCGAGATGTAGGCGACACATGCCATCAAGTAAGGTGCCCACCATCATGCCCCCAGAGATGCATACATTGTGGAGCGACCTCCACTGTGCGTCCAGCTAATATCCACCACCTCCCAGAGTTACAATAATTTTTGCTTGTGGTGAGAACTTTTAAGATTCACTCTCTTAGGGGACGCCTGGGTGGCTCAGTGGTTTAGCGTCTGCCTTGGGCCCAGGGCATGATCCTGGGGTCCTGGGATCGAGTCCCACGTTGGGCTCCCTGCGTGGAGCCTGCTTCTCCCTCTGCCTGGGTCTCTGCCTCTCTTCCTCTCTGTGTCTCTCATGAATAAATAAATAAAATCTTAAAAAAAAAAGACTCACTCTCTTAACAACTGTCAGATACACAATACAGTACCGTTAATGACAGTCGCCGGTCCGCACGTGACATCCCCAGAACTTACTTGTCTTGGAATTGGAAGTTTGTGCTTCACCTGCCTATCCCCCCACCCCACCCCCCGGTGACCACAGGTCTGTTCTCTTTCCAGGGGTGTGTCTTTAGACTCCACAGGTAAGTGAGTCCACACCGTATTTGTTTTTCTTCTGCCTGACTTATTCACGGAGTGTAATGCCCTCATGTCTGTGTCATTGAGAATAATAGGATTTTCCTTCTTTCTAATGACTGAGTACTATTCTTTTATGGGGCTGGTGTGTGTGTACGGTCCGTGGAAGCTTCTTAATTTGATACAGTCCCACGTGTATTTTTGCTTTTGTTGGTTGTGTTAATCTCCTCCCCTTGATTGTGAGCTGGACCTAGTGACTAACTTTTTTTTTTAAGTTCTAGCTTTTTAATTTAGATTTTATTTATTTATTTATCTATTTATTTATTTGAGAGAGAGAGAGAGAGCAGAGTGAGGGGCAGAGGGGGACAGAGAGGGATGAGCAGACTCCATGCCAATTGTGAAGCCCAATGCAGGCTCAATCTCATGACCTCTAGATCATGACCTAAGCTGAAACCAGGAATTGGATGCCTAACGGAGTACAGATAATTTTTTTTTAAAAAGACACTGAAGACCTAATTGCTATACACAAAAGACTGCCCCTAACAACTGAAGAATGCATGTTCTTTCAAGAACCTAGGAAATTTTATGAAAACAGAATATAAGCTGAGCCACAGACAAGCATTTTGAAGGAAGGAGGCTCGACAGAGACATACCAGAACCGGAGTAAAATCAGATCAGAAATCAAGTCCATTAGCAAAACAGACAAGGCACAAGAAAACAAGAAAGCAGGTTTTTCAAAAATCTCCTTGAATTTGGAAATTAAGAAACAGTTTTCAGTAAGCCACAGGTCAGAGCGGAAACCACAATGGAAAACTAAGCAAATTTCTCACTGACTGGTAATGAAAATACTACATACTCAAAAACTGAAATTCAGGCAAGCAAAACTCAGAGGGAAATGTATGTCCCCATACATACACATACCTGTGTTATGCGGCTGTATGTATATGTACACGTATGTCTGTGTGGCTGCAAACCGGCAGAGTAAAGTCGAAGGACGTAGAAGGAACCGCTGGCTGTGATAAAATGCTTCCCCTAACCAGGAGATGACATCCCTCCTCTCTGCTTCTAGTCGGCATTATGCTGCAGACCCTACTAGTGAGATGAGCCAGTTAAAGGCATAAAGACTGGAAAATTTACCTGACGGGAGGGTCATACAGAAAATACTAAGGAAGTCAACCCCAGACTGTCTGAACTAACGAGTTAAATAATGTCTCTAGACATATAACATACAAAAATGATTTCTAGATCTGCAACAAGTGATTGGAAGCTAAATTTAGAAACCCATTTCCATAGCTTCAGAAAATATGAAGTACTTCGGAGTAAGTTTAGCCAAAGACAATGCAGAACATCTGGAAACTGCAAAACATGGCTGATAAAAATGAGAAATGACCTCCCAAATAAACAAAGCTACGTGTGATACCTATGGATTGGAAGGATGAATGTTTGAAAGATGTCCATTCTCCCTAAATTAATCTGTAAATTCAACTTAGTACCAGTCATAGTCCCTACAGGTTAAAAAAAATATAGTTTAGACAGTTTTAGGTTTACAGCAAAACTGAGCAGAAAACAGAGTTCCCATCTACTCATTCTACCCCTGCTTCGCTCACACACACCCCGTTCCCTCGTTTTCCCTATTGTTAACGGCTTGCAATTAGTGTGGTGGATCTGTTGTAACCAATGGAGGTCCTTTTTTCAAAATAGAATCTGATGAGTTTATATTTAAATTTACACAAACGTTAACACAAACGACCCATAATGGCCAAAACAATCTTGAAAAAAAATAGACCTGAAGGAACCATCTACTACCTAACTTCTAGACGTCCCACAAAGCCACAGGAACCCCAATGGTGAGGGACTGGCATGGGACAGACAACTGTTCAGTGGAACAGAATAGGGAATGTAGAAATTGCCATACACATTCAATTGATTTTTGGTGAAGTTGTGAAAACAATTCAGTGTGGAAGGAAGTCTCTTCCCCCAAAAGGTTCCATCATGACTGGATACCCATGTGCAAGAAAATGAGCCTCAGGGACGCCTGGGTGGCTTAGCGGTTAAACATCTGCCTTCAGCTCAGGTTGTGATCCTGGGATCCAGGATCAAGTCCCACGTCGGGCTCCCCACAGGGAGCCTGCTTCTCCCCCTGCCTGTGTCTCTGCCTCTCTCTGTGTGTCTCTCACGAATAAACAAAATCTTAAAAAAAAAATGTGTTTGGCACCTGCATAAAAACACTAATGGGTGCTGTGAGGAGCTATGGGCAGGAGGACAGTCTCATCTGAGACGTGAGAGGAAGTGATGCAGAGACAGGTGTTTATGCGCATGAGTATAAGTGACCACTGGCATTCTCCAACAACAATAATACAGGTTTGTGAAGTTGAAAAAAGAGAGAATTAAAATATACGATATAGGGGCGGGCGCCTGGGTGGCTCAGTCGGTCTAGCGTCTGCCTTCGGCTCAGGTCATGATCTTAGGGTCCTAGGATGGAGCCCCATGTCGGGCCCCCTGCTCACTGGGGAGCCTGCTTCTCCCTCTGCCTCTGCCCCTGCCCACTCATGCTCTGTCTCTTTTACTCTCGAGTAAATAAATAACATCTTTTAAAAATACAACGTATACAGCTTGGTGATGGTGAGGTGTGTGTGTGTCCCAGGGTCTCAGCATTGTCCAGGAGCGGAGTGAATATATTACTTCACTTGGCACTTTGATAAATTCCATACGTGTGTCTCAGTGTCTACGCTGACCACTAATGTGATACCGTAAGAACGTGTAATCTCCAACTAGCATTAGGGAGAAAAAAAAAAAGTACAGAATGAGGAAAAATAACCGAAAAGGGGGAGAGAAAAAGCCATGTGGACTAGCAGAAAAAAATAAAATATGAGCTTTAATGTGTCATTAATAACACTTGTAACAGCCTACATGTTCCAGGTAGCAAGCAGGTACGGCCAGAGCAGCTGTCACTGTCTGGGCTTGTGTGGCCTCCTGGGGGCCCCCTGAGCGCCCCAACACGAGGAAGGCCTTCCTCGAGGGCCGCTCAAAGCTCGCTGGCTCAGTCAGGCAGCCGTGAGCCCGAGGCCGTGAGCCTTCCTGACTGCGAGAGCCACCCGTTACTCACTGTCACTGACGGCATCCCAGGGGACACCGTGTCGCTTGGTTTGCTTTGTCGCCCCTGGAAAGGGCGGTGGATTCAGCGCTCTGCCCGGCAGTGTCCCTCTCACTGTGAGTCCTCGCGGGGGGCGGGAAGGGCCCGTGAGGGTCGGACCCGAGCCCCGCACCCGGGTTGGACGTGGGACCCTCGGGAGCCCCCCGGCTGCCAGACCCTGGGCTGTGCGGTGTCGGCCCCCCCTTACCGGACGAACACCTCCTCCATGGTGGTGACTGCCGCCCCAAAGCTGGCAACCCCCAGCTCCACCTGCCGCCGCTCCAGCTCCGTGAAGAGACATGCGAACCTGCAAGGGAAGAGTGGTTGTCTCCCCACAGGTGCAGGGGAGCCCCCCACGGGCCCTGGCGCTCCATGGGGAGATAGCGGGGCCGCATCAAGTGCTCGGCTTTGGGGCTCCTGAGGTCAGCACTCTGCACCAGGACAGCGGGGGGATGGATTTACTCCCAAACGTTTCTGGGGCAATGACTCTCGCATAGGCCTCGTGAATGATGCAGCTTTCCACGCGGTTTGTGGGGTGCTCCCTGAGAGCCCGGAGCCACCCGAACCCTCCCGTGTGCACGCACTGCTGTGGCCAGGCCCATCCGGGGGGCAATGTGGGGGGCGGGGGCTTGGCGCGCCCTGCAGACACTGCAGTGCCGAGTGGACACCGAGAGGGGCATGCACCCAGCGGCGCCCCTCTCCTCGCACCCCCTCTGCACGCCTTCCATTGCCTTCTAGCAGCCGAATGGAGCAACGCTGAGCGCAACACCGGGTGCACCCGCCACCTGCCACCTGCCACCTGCCACCCAGCCTCCGCCTCGGGGAGGAGCCCGCGCTGCACGGTGCTGGGTTGACGCCCACTACTGCTCGCCCGGGCTAGTTCTCGCTCGCCTCGGGGTCTCTCCCCTCCCGAACTGGGGGGGTGTTGGGGCGTCGAGTGTTCGCAGGCTCACTCAGCTGCAGTTGCTGAAATCATGCCCGCGGGTGGCAGGCTCCAGGTGTGGGGCGATGCCGTGCTGTCACCCACCGTGGGGCAGGCCTCTCCAGCACCCCATAGGGTGCTCTCCCCCCCCTCCAGGTGACTCATCTCCCACTCGCACACGACCAGTTTCGTGCCTCCTGCTGCTGCCGTGCCTGGCTCCTGTCCTGTGCTGCCCAGGCCCGGCAGTGGAGTGCGTGGCCTCCCCTCGTGTCTAGCTCACCCAGCCACCGGGCGGGAGGCTCAGCAGGCCGGTGCCGCGCCGAGGTCCTCTCGTCGGGGTGGGGGGGTGTTCCACGAAGGAATACGCCGCAGTCGGGGTGTTGGTTCCTCTCTTGATCGACATTTGGACGCAGGTGATGGGTCTGGGGACCCGCAGGCTCCGCTCGGTTTCTTGCTTCCCCGAGGGCCCCGGCCCATGGAGCCCCAGGCCCTGGAGGACTTGGCAGATGCTCCGGTCCACGTCCCGGCTGCGCCCAGCCTTCCAGAAATCTCACCGCAGCCCCGACCTGGGCGCCAAGCCCTCCTGGGCCCCCACTTAAGTCCATTCGACCCGTTCCTATTTTGCTAATGACATTGTGTTTACGTTCATGTTCTGGTTGTTGGTATCATAGGCCCGCTGCCCCACCCCACCCCCCGCCCATGACTTGGGGGCTGCTTCCTTCTCTATTTCCCGAAAGATTGAGGTTATTTCCTCAGTGACTGATGGGGACTGGAATCCTCTTTGCGGTAACGTTTGTCATTGCAAATTCAATTTCATCAGTAGATGCGTGGTTATTCAGATTCTTCTTTTTCACTGTGTGTCAGTTGGAGTAGGTTGTGTTTTTCAAGAAATCAGCCTGCTTTATCTACATTCTAAACAGTTTAGCCCATTAAGTCTCCAATTTATTTGTGGTTCTTTCTCATTATCCTGTCATAACTCTGTGCTGGGTGTGCATGGTGGTTTGCTCATTCCTCATGCTGTTCTTGTATTTCTTTTTTTTCTCCTTAATGGCTTAGGCGGGGGCTTAATCATTTTTATTGATATTGTAATAAACAATGTCTGGCTATTTTTTTCCCTCAATGTTTTTGTTTCTTATTCCACCATTTGTTCTCTTCATATTTATTATTTCTTTTCTTCTCTGTACTCTGCATTTAACATTCTTTCTGCTTTTTCTGCCTCCCTCAGCTGGAAACTCAGGCCACTGGCCTTGAGGCTTTCTTCTTTCCTAACATAAGTGTTTTGGGGCTATATTTTTCCCTTTGGGCACCGCTCTAGCAGCATCTGAACATTTTGGATCTGTTGTGTCTTCATCATTGTCCAATTCTAAACTGTTTCTAATTTCTCTTTGACCCATAAGCTGTTCAGAAGTGTTCAGAAGTTGAGTTTCCAAATGTTTGTGGATTTTCTAGGTATCTTTCTGTAATCAAGTGCGAATTTATCCCTTCTGCTGCGTGTTGAGGAGCCTGACTCATGACGGAGAGCCTACATATGAGACAAGGATGCCGGGAAGACAGCAGAGTGGAAAGGACCCAGCATCTGCCTCCCCACTGACACAACATCTGAGCTTGCAGAATCTGCCTAATGTGCCTGGCCCGGAAAATTATAGTCAGAGCCGTTAGGCAAGAAAAAAGAAGAGGCATCCAGAGCGGAGAGGAAGAAGTGAAATTATGTGTTTGCAGATGACGTGATTTTATATGTAGAAAACTCTACAGATGCTACAATGAAGCTGTAAGAAGTAATAAGTGAGTTCAGCAGAATAGCAGGATAGAGAGCCAACACGCAGAAATCAGTTGCATTTCTAAATACAGTGAACAAATCTAAGAAGGAAATAACAAAAATAACCCCACTTACCATAGCGCCAAACAATAAAATACTTAGGGGTTAACCTAAGGAAGTGAAAGACTTGTAGAATGAAAGCTATAAAAAATTGCTGAAGGGAAGTAAAGAAGACGTAAATACACTGAAACACATCCCATGTTCATGGACTAGGAGATGTGATGTTGTTCAAATGCCAATACCGGCCAGAGCATTCAACGGATTCAGTACAGTCCCTACCAAAAAAAGCAATGATTTTTTTTTTTTTTGCAGAAATAGAAAAACCCTTCCTAAAATTCATATGGAATCTCAAGGGACCCTTAATAACCAAAACAATCTTGCAAAAGAACAAAACTAGAGAATGATACTTCCTTGATTTCAAAACTTGCTACAGGGCAGCCCCTGTGGCTCAGCGGTTTAGCGCCACCTTCAGCCCAGGGCGTGATCCTGGAGACCCGGGATCACATCCCATGTCGGGCTCCCTGCTTGGAGCCTGCTTCTCTCTCTGCCTGTCTCTCTGTGTGTCTCTCATGAATAAATAAACAAAATCTTGGGGAAAAAAAACTTGTTATGAAGCTACAGTATCCAAACAAGGTGTTATTGGCATAAGGGCAGACACATAGACTGATGGAAGATAGCAGAGTGCCCAGAAATAAGCCCTCGCACATATGGTCAAATGATTTTCAACAAAGGTGCCAAGAATTTGATGAGGGAAGGACAATCTTTTTAACCGATGTGGAAACAGGATATCCAAGTGTGAAAGCATGACATTGGACCCTATGTAACACTACATACAAAAATGAACTCAAAATAGATCAAGGACCTAAATGTAAGACCTAAAATAATACAACTCTCAGAAGAAAACATGGCACAGAAGCTCCACAACATGGGATCTGGCAATGATTTCTTGGACGTGACATCAAGGGCACAGTAACAAAAGAAAAAATAAATGGGTCGGACTTCATTCAACTTAGAAATTTTGTGCATCAGGATTTACTATCATCAGAGTAAAAAGACAACCCACTAAATGGGAGAAAATATTTGCAGATCCTGTTATCTGATAAAGGACTAATATCCAGAATATATAGAGAAGTCCTACAGCTCCAGAACAATAGAAAACAGCTTGATTCAAAAATGGGCAAAGGACATGAGGGGTGCCTGGCTGGCTCAGTCAGAGGAGCATGCACCTCTTGATCTCAGGGTTATGAGTTGAAGCCCCACGTTGAGGATAGAGATTACTTAATAAATAAAAGATTGGTTTTTTTTAATGGGCGATAGTAGACATTGCTCCAAAGAAGACATACAAATGGAATAAGCACATGAAGAGATGCTTAGCATCACTCATCATTGGGGAGATGCAAAACAAAGTAACCTCATGCCCATTAGGTTGGTGAGTAATTAAAAAAAAAAAACAGAAAACAACAGGTATTGATGAGCTATGGAGAAATTGGAATTCTTATGTACTGTGGGAGAGAATGTAAAATGGTACATCCTCTGTGGAAGACAGCATGGCAGTTCTTCAAAATTTTAAAAATGAAATTACCATATGGCCCAGCACTTTTCCTTCTGAGTAAATATATCCCAAAGAATCAAAAGCAGAGTCTTGAAGGGATACTTGCACACCCGTGTTAGTGGCAGCATTATTCAGCATTATCCACCACAGCTAAAATGTGGCGGCAACCCAAGTGTCCATTAACAGATGAATGGATAAACACAATGTAGGGTGTGTGTGCACACGTGTGTGTGTTATAGACTAGTATTCAGCCTTAAAAAGGAAGGAAATCCTGCAATATGCCACAGCACTGAACTTTGAGGACATTGCACTAAGTGGCCTAAGCGAATCACAAAAGTACAGATACTGCATGATGGCAGCTGAGGGCAGCCCGTATCACAGAGCCAGAAAGTATAAGGGTGGGTGCCAGGGGCTGGGGGAGGACAGTGGGGACTCAGTGCACTCCTGGAAGTAACCAAGTAGAGAGAGACTCTGATGGTATGGATGAGTAGGGTGAGTCCAGAAGGCGAGGTTTTGAGAAGGCAAGATGGAAGGATCTGGAGCTGGTGCAGAAGGGCGAGCCTCCACCAGGAAGAGAGACGCATCATTGGCTATAAAGATGGAAGGAAGGAAGACACGTGTGACGAGAGTGAAGGGGACTTCTTGTTTGGTGGCTCCCATCTTCCTCACGAAGTTGAGCTAAGACTCCTCCCTGAGAACTACATGAGGGAGAGGAGGTGGTAGTGAGTGGCGGGAACCACTCTGAAGTCTGGAATAATTGAGGAAAATCAGGCCAGATGTTCGTCTTGGCTCAGCCACCCAATAAGGGTGTCTGTAAAGTCACATTTAAGAATTTGACTTTGGGGGGGATCCCTGGATGGCTGAGTGGTTTGGTGCCTACCTTCGGCCCAGGGCGCGATCCTGGAGTCCCGGGATCGAGACCCACATCAGGCTCCCTGCGTGGAGCCTGCTTCTTCCTCTGCCTGTGTCTCTGCCTCTCTCTCTCTCTCTCTCTGTCTTTCATGAATAAATAAATAAAATCTTAAAAAAAAAGAGAATTTGACTTTGGGACACCTGGGTGGCTCAGCAGTTGAGCATCTGCCTTTGGCCCAGGGTGTAATCCTGGGTCCTGGGACTGAGTGCTGCATCGGCCTCCCTGCAGGAGCCTGCTTCTCCCTCTGCCTGTGTCTCTGCCTCTTTCTCTGTGTCTCTCATGAATAAATAAAATCTTTTTATAAAAAAAGAATTTGACTTTAACTTGAAGGCTACTGGGGGCCATTGAGGGGTTTAAAGGAAGGAGGGGACATGATAAGAGCCCCGTTACTTTCGAGTGCTGCTCTGGCTAGAGTGTGCTGTCTTTCCAGGAGATAGCAGAGGCCTGGGGGTCCAGACCCCAGCAGAGTAGAGAGGCCTTGCTGATGAGAGGGGCAGCGGAGCCGGCTGTGAGCGTGCACACGGGGACTCCCATCCTCTGGGGTCCGCACCTGTGGATGTTCTTTTTAGGAAGAATAAATGTTAATTCTTCTCCAGTGCTGGACTGCAAAACTGCATTTGGTATGTGCTGATAAATCAGATGAGAAATCTTTTCTGTGCTACAATGAGGTTTCTTCACCAAAGTCATATAATATCCAGCACCTGAAACAACATTTCAAAGACCGTGAAACCTTCTTTGGGGGCAGAGGGTGGGCTGAGTTAGCCAGCAAGCGCAACAAGCTGGGAGGGGATGGATGCCTGGCCAGGGTGCTAGCTGGGCGTGGAGGTGGGGGTCAGGGAAGGCCCCCAAGGTTTGTGGACTGATGGGATTGGGGCACCTCTAAGGTTTGGGCCAAGCTTGTAGAAGAAGGGAGCTGTCTGTGCTGGGGGCAGCGGGTGCAGTGGCAGAGAGCAGGGTCCGGGGGGGTACCGGGCTGCCCAGGGTTTGGACAAGTCCCAGAGAGCCTGTCAGCGTCCACACGGGCATGGAATAGACTCCAGGTACACGCATGTGGAGTTCAGGAAGGGGTCCAGGCTGGAAAGACACTCATTTTCCAGCACAGGAACCCAGATGAGGACACCCGGTCCGTGGGCAGATGGAGTGAGGCGGTGGAGGCGCATCCACGCCCCAAGCAGCAGAGACACAGGAGGGCCCAGGGTCCCGGAGACCAGGGGCAGCACTTGTGGAAACAGCCCACACCTGCGTGAGTGCTCCACACTGGCTCGCTCCTTGAGTGTCCGTTTTATAGGTCGGAAGGGAAGGCAAAGGATAAAGCTCCCGGTCGCACGGATGAAGAGGCCAAAACCAGCAGAGGGGACTCAGACTCGGATCTCCTGACCCCAGGTCTCAGATCTTTCCCTGCCTCCTCCTGTCCTAGCCCCTCCGCTGGCCTCAGCGTCCCCCCGGGGAAGCCAGCAGCCCCCCTGCCCAGGACAGGGCCTGTCCCTGCTGCCCGCCCACCCCGCTCACCATACTTCTGCTTGAGGAACAGCGAGGACCCGCAGCATTGCACCTCCCCCTTGGCCATGATGGCCACGCGGTCCCCCAGCAGGTCGGCCTCGTCCATGAAGTGCGTGGTCAGCAGCACGGTGCGGTCGCTCTTGTGCTGCTGCAGGAGGTCCCAGATGGCCCTCCTGGAGATGGCGTCCATGCCTGAGGTGGGCTCGTCCAGCATCAGCACCTGGGGGCGGAGGCTGGCTACGCGGGAGGCTCTGGTTCTGTGCACATGTGGCCACGCTGCTGGCGTCTGGGGGTCCACAGCCTGCCCCTGCCCGTGGGGGGCAGCCGCCCCGGGTGCCCAGCCCTGGCCCGGGGCCTCCTGCCCGCCTACCTTGGAGCCCGCTATGAGGGCGATGCCGATGGAGAGCTTGCGCTTTGTGCCCCCGCTCAGGAACTTGCTCAGGGTGTCCCGCTTGTCCTCCAGCCCGAGGACGTGCAGCATCCGCTGGACTTCTTCAGGGCACTTGTGGTGGGACAAGCCCTTCAGCTGCAACAGTGGGGGTGGGGAGGTTGGGAGGGGGTCCCAGTGGGGGCGGGGGCGGGGGATGGGCTGCCGGGAGCCTGGCCTTGGTGCCGCCTCCTCCATCAGTGTGCCCGCCTGGTGCCCGGACTCCCTCCCGCCTCCCCGTGGGGGCCCCTGTCCGGCGAGCATTGTGCCAGGATATACGTAAACTGGGCACAAGACTCTCACTACCTTTTGGGAAGGGGATAGACAAGAGGCGTTTGCATTTTGAACCACGTGAGTATATGTCATATTAATACTAAGTATAGCATATTAAAGGGTCACGCATCACGACCGAGTGGGGTTACCCTGGGGGCCCGGGGCAGCTTCCACCCAGGGAAAACTATGCATAAGTGTCTCATGATGAAGGGTGTGGCTGACCTCTGCCCCCAGTTCCTAGAAGGGCCTCTAAATCCATGGGACGATAGGGGTGTCCTTGTTATTTGTGTCATACCCTCAGCCACACCTGAGCGGACATAACGGGTTGACTCAGGACCTGCTAGGGACGAGGTGTGCAGAGGCTGCAGATGGAGTTCAGCCATGTGGTCCATCATTTGACCATTAGGGCCTATGTGATGAAACCCCAAGAAAATCTGGACACTGGGACACCTGGGGGGCTCAGCGATTTAGTGCCTGCCTTAGGCCCAGGGTATGACCCTGGGGTTCTGGGATCGAGTCCCACATCAGGCTCCCTGCAAGGAGCCTGCTTCTCCTTTTTTTTTTTTTAAAGATTTATTTATTTATGATAGAGAGAGAGAGAGAAGCAGAGACACAGGAGGAGGAAGAAGCAGGCTCCATGCCAGGAGCCCGACGTGGGACTCGATCCCAGGACTCCAAGATCATGCCTGGGCCAAAGGCAGGTGCCAAACCACTGAGCCACCCAGGTGTCCCCTCCTGCTTCTCCTTCTGCCTGTGTCTCTGCCTCTCTCTGTGTCTCTCATGAATAAATAAATAAAGTCTTAAAAAAAAAAAGAAAACCTGGGCACTTGCAGGTTAAGTGAGCGCCCCAGTATGCAGTCCTGTGCCAGTGGGGGCATGCATCCGGAGGACATGGGAGCTTCCTATTTGGGACTGTCCCAGACCTCACCCTGCTCATCTCTCGTTTGGGCTAGTCCTGATTTGCATCCTTCATAATCAAAGTGTGACCCTTGCCCTCTCCCCCTGCCTGAATGTTTAGGGAATAGTGTCCAGAAAAAGTCTCAAGACCTTGTGAGGTTGGGTCAGGGAGCTGCAGGCTGTCTTACTGTCATCCCCAAGAACAGACGCAGAGGAGACTGAGCGTGCCATCCCCAGACTCACCCGAGCATAGAAGTAAAGATGCTCTGCTACTGTGAAGTTATCGAACAAGATATCGTGCTGGGGGCACCAGCCCATGCTCTTCCGGATCTGAGCCACATCGCAGGAAATATCATACCCATTGACATATACCCATCCGCTGGAAGGAGCAAGGACACCTGGGAGCAAGAGGGAGACACTCTAGGGTCATCGTCAGCCAGAGCACGCGGCACTTCCAAGGCTCGACGACGTCCTCCGTATGTTTGCAAGCACGTCACGGTCAGTGACATCCAAGGAGGGTGAGCCCTGTGACGGTGAACGAGGACTTGCAGGGGCGGGAGAGACAGGACGTGAGCCTCCTGCCTCTGAGGGGTGCCGGCCTGCCTCAGTGGGTACAACACACACAGGCGCATGTCAGGCAAAGACACGATGATAAGCGACACGAGGGCAATGTGGTTTGGGGGGACAGTATCTGGGGCATCTAACCATTCTGAACTGAGACCCAGGACTGATTTGGCTTGATTCCCAGTAAGCCCTGGGGAATGCGGGGTGCCCGTGGGGAGGTGTGGGCCTTCACAGCCGGGCCGTCAGGGCACTCTCACCCCTTATTCCATCTCCTTAGTTTAACTCTATTTGCAACAAGATTAAAAGAAGAAAGTGTAGCGAAGCACACAAAGGACGCAGGTCCCAGCCTGGACCCCCGACACCTGTTCAGCATAGCATCGTGGATTCCTTCACGCACATGCTGACTCAAGGGTTAAAGTTTTTAGCAAAAACAGGAAAATACAGATTCCAGGGTTTTTTGTTTTTGTTTTTTTAGTGTATGTGCTGCTGAAGAAGTAAGCACAAAATTCTGTTTTTTTAACTGGCTTCCCCCCCCAAAAAAAAGGAAAAATTGAGGCCATTTCTTCACATCCACAAAACTGATCTAATTTGGGAAGGCTAAAAAGATTTCATCATTATGAATACATGCCGTTTATTTATTCAACCCTCACTGGTGGTTAAGGAGGGGGTTTGCAGTTTTTTACAAGTCGTAACAGGTGGTATGACTTTGCCTTCTTCCCCATGCATCTCCTTACTCCAAATCAATGTAAATAGATTCGGGATGCCTGCGCAGCTCAGTCAGTTGAGCGTTTGCCTCTTAGTTTCGGCTCAGGTCGGAGTCCCAGGGTCACGAGATGGACCCCCGAGTGGGGCTTCGAGCTCAGCAGGGAGTCTGCTTGGGGTTCTCTCTCCCTCTGCCGCTGCCCCTCCGGTGGGAAGAGACGTGTGGGGCCGTGTTCACAGCTCCATGACGGCGAATGAGATCTAATTCCCCAGATTGACCATAAGACCCAAAGGTTCCCTTTTCCTCGTTCGGGTCACGTGAACAACCAGGTGCTACGCAGACAGCAAGAGCGTCATATTCGGACGTCAGTGAAATCCGAGGAGGGGAGATGGAAGCACATGTGGGGAGTGCGGGGGCTCTTCCTCGGGGAGGGCCGCCCGGCGCACGTACCTGTGAGCATGCAGCACGTGGTGGTCTTGCCGGCCCCGTTGTGTCCCAGCAGAACGGTGATCTGCCCCTGGTACAGGTTCATGGTCAGACCTTTGACTGCCACGTGCTTACTCTTTCCCATCTGATACACCTGCGGAAAATTCACATGGCGGGCATGTGGTGTTCCTGAAGCATCTATGAACCACATCAAGTTGCCCTGAACTTGGATTCCCAGTCCACCCATGGGAATCCAAGGCAAATCTGGGAGGGCACCAGGGTTTAGCTGCCTGGGGCTGCAGAGGAGCCTGATGGGGGTGCAAACCCGGGGGCTTCTCCCCGGCACCCCAGAGGCCAGAGCTCGAGGACGAAGGGCTCAGAGCTTGCTTGGGAGTCTGCTCCCTGCTTCTAGAGCCACACTTCGCACTGACGTGGCCCAGCAGCTGAGAATTCCCACCAGAACCGTGGGTCTGCAGACAGCAGGTGTGTGAACACAAGGGAAATCCCTGCTCGTGGAAGCCGCAGGCGAGCCTAGCTGCTGGGACCGCTCGCGATGGACCTGGAGCCCCCAGCTGTGTCATGAGTCCCTGGGCTCCCCGTGACACCTACCCCCCAACGCACACACCCGGCGCCCACAGCCACAGGAGGGCGGCACGAAGTGTAACAAGGCTTCAGCGTCTGGACACGGACACGCCTCTCCCTTGGACTCATCGCATTTAAAGATCAGAAAGTGCCAAAGGGGAAATGCTGCTCTGTGGGATGCGCCAGGGCACAGGGCTCACGTCCAGGCGTCCTGCCCCGGGAGCGCTTAGTCACGCGGGGCTCAGCGCGCAGCAAAGGCTCAGCCAGCACTGGCGACAGCCAAGCCTGCCCCATCTGGAAGCTGGGCCCAGCGACTGGGTGTGGAAACCATGGGGATGGACGTCAGCCACCAAACAGCTGAGCTCCAGGGGGTCCCCAGGCAGCGGTGCTGGCGTGGCCGGGGGCGGGAGGTGTTTCAGCCAGAATCATCTGGACCCTCCGTCCTCCCCCACTTTACTGAATGACAGGAAACGGGACGCGTGATGCTAGATTCCTATTTCAAGGATCCCCTCCCGGAAGGAAGCTAAGCCTCTCTCGGGAATGAATGTACCTTGTAACCACCAGGTTATTATCAGAATAAAACAAGCCTCTACACGTGATTTCTTAAATTCTTAAAAGGAGATTTGTGAGCTCCTACCTTGTAGAGCTGTCGGATTTCAATCCCTTTCACCAAATCTGTAGGCTCTTCCTGAATGAACTTGCTTTCCGAAGCTTTGTCTGGGTCCCCCACGTCCAGCACTGACCGTGTGAGGGATGAAGACCGTCCCTGCCAGTGGGATGGCTAGACAGAAAGTCAACTACATTAAGGTGTTCGGGTGAATTGACCGTCTTCTTCAGGAACATAATACTTGGGTAAAATAAATCCTCCACCCCACCCCGCCAACCCCAACTCCCATGTTTCCTGGTACCAAACAGCTAATGGTACCTGGAGAAGTCTGGCAACCTGTTCACGGACTCACTACCAATGAGCTGCATTTGAGCCCACAACTCATGGTCCTGAGGGTGGAGCGATCGACAGGACATGCCCCACACCCGGGCTCCCGGTGAGCTGGGGAAGCCGTCATGTTGGCAGGCAGCCCCCTGGCCGAGGCCTGGAGAGATAGTGGGGTGGACGCTTCTCCACACTCCTGGAAGGGCCAGTGGGGCCACCTGTGCCCTTCGGACAGGACCACCTCCTTTGCAAATGGTGGGACGGGGCCGCTGGCGGGGCTGCGGGAGCACCGCATCCGCAGGTGAGCTCCACTTCGTGAGGACAACGTGGTCACCACGGGAGGCAGCGACTCTGAGAACTCATGGTGGGGGGGGGCAGCCACGGGAAGCTGCACCTGCCGGCCCCAGGGTCACACGGTCTCAGAGAGGGTCAGGACTACAACAGCCCAGAGGGGAAGGAGGCGGTGGTGTCCCATGGGGACTTGCGGGGCCTGGCACGGGCGTGGGCACACCGGACATCGCAGACACGCTTGCAGCCTCTCTGCACGGGTGCCAGCGGGGGGCAAGGGTCAGAGGCAGACTCCTTCGTCATCATGTTCCCTTGGCGACCACAAGCTGATGGGCTTGGGGTGAATCCGGGCTAGAGGAGCCCACTTGGATTTCCTGGGGCTCGAGGTTTCGATCAGGACACTGACACGGGTGAGGGTGTTGTGGGGCTGTACACGATGTCACGTTGGTGTGTAGGATAGGAGCGCCGGTACTCACCATGACAAAGAAGTACCAGGGTTTGGGGATGCCGTACTCCCCTGGGAGGACGGCCTCCACGTACCAGGCCACCAGGCCGTACAGGACGGAGTCCAGGACCAGCATCACCAGCACGTGGGAGAAGTTAAACTCCCCACTCAGGCCGCCCACGTGCTTCCACCGCATGCCGGTGCCTGAGCCGAAGGAGGCATGACGTCAGTGCATGGGAGGTGCCCAGGCCACCCACGGGACTGGACTGTTGGCCTGGGCCGAACATGAGGCACCAGAGGGGAGAGCCACCGCCACGAGTTTCTCCCCAAGAAAAAACATTTTCAGGATCCCTGAGAGGAGGGAGGAGGAGTCTGGTCATCCAAGGGTCTTCCCCATGGCCTGTGCCCGTCGCACCGCCTCTCGCTGGCTGGTTCTCTTGAAGCGAGGTGGGCGCAGGTGCCTCCTTGCCCTGCAGGTTCCGTGCCCCCCCCGGGGTATGTGCCCTCTGTGAGCATCCGTGCTGTGATCAGAGAGGGGCCTGCTTGTGATTCAGTCGTCCCTGTATCTGCAGCATCAGCCCCGGGGCGGAGGAGGGGCCCGGGACCAGTTCCGGAACGCGTAGGGAGGTGACTAACCTGTGTGATGCCAAGCATCTAATCTGAGTGCAAGTTGACTAAGCTCGTCATTTAAAGCATCCAAGGTTCTGAGCGTGTGCTGCCACCCGGCAGGCTGGCAGGGGCGGGAACCAGTGACCACGAGAGAGGTTTGAGTGGACTTCAGGTGAGCCAGCGGGTGGGCTGGTGTGTTAGTGTCACACATCCATCAGGTGTGTCAGGGGGCCCCCGGAAGCCTGCACTTCCAACACCCTCTGGTGGGGGGCAGCTGCTGCCGCTTGGGGTGGGGGGGAGGTGACCTCTGAGCCCCTTCCTGGCATGGGATCCCGTGACCTGTGTCTCTCTGTGTACTGGCCCAGGGCGTCGCCTTTCACTGCAGCTAACAACCAGACCTCGCCCAACTGGTACGGGTTCCAAGGCCGCAGTGGCCGCCGAGCACACTTAGCTCCTGAGAGCCAGGTCCATCCCTACCCAGTGCAGGTCCGCAGGGTCCAGGTGGCAGAGGGCAGAGCTCCTTCCCCACCTGGGCAGGTGCGCGATTGCCAAGTGACCTTAGGTATTTACTGTGGATGCGTGAACTGAAGCTTTAACAGGCAAGCCGCAGGAAAAGTCCGGGTGACCTGCCCCCTCCCTGCCACCAGTTGCCCCAGAAACCCCCAGCCTGCACACCCCACACCCACACCCCTGGCGGGGTGTTTGCAGGCAGCATCTTGCTGGGTCTGGCCTCTTAGCCAAGCTGGCTGCCTCCCTGCCATTGGTCAGCGCGACATTCACGTTTCGTGACGACTGCCACTCCAGATGAAAAGCTACCGTCTTGCCAGCGTTTTACTATTTGTTCCAAACTTTTGGTTCTTTCTCTCCTCCTTTCCTCTTTTTTTCTTGCATTCATAGAGAATCTTTGCATGATTCAATTTTATTTCCACTGCTGATTTATTATTTCTACATCTAGTGTTGTTGCAGGGTTTACGGTATTTGTCTTTAACCTGAGTGTGTCATCAGATGACGTTTCAGCTCCTCGCGGGTCCTGTGAGGACCTTACACAGCGTCTCCCCAGCCTCCCCACCCCCACTGTCACCCCACATCTTCTGCATGAGCTCTAGATGCTATAGGTTCCTCCTGCTTTTGCAGTAGACATTCCTCTCAGAGAAAAAAAAAAGTCAAATCAAAACAAAACAGTACAAAAACCATGAAAAACAAAGTATTTTCCATTCCTGGTGCTCCTAAGTGCTGTGTGCAGATCCAAGCTTCGGTCTGCTATTCTTTTTGCCTGAAGATCTCAGCATTTCTTGCAATGTCTCCTCCCCATCAAGTCTGTCAGCTTCTGTTCCTTTGAGACAGCCTGTCTGTCGCTCACTTTCCGGCAGCTTGGCAGGGTTTGGCCCGAGCGTGTAACCGGGTCCCCGCGTCGTGTCCTGGCTTGTGTGCACCTGTGGCCCGCTGGGATTCGCTCTTCCACGGAGTGCCTACTCGAGCCCCCTGCTCCGCGCTTTACTGTAAATCCTCACATTTAACTGATGTGTAGGAATTCTGTACGTACTCTGGACACGAGAGCGTTCTGTGGGTTCGATGTGTGTCCGTCGGCCTCTGTCCTCCATTCTGTCTGTGGCATCTGAAGGTCAGATGTATCTGTCTTTGTGGTCGGTTATATTTTGTGTCTTGCTTGATGAGGAATCTTTCCAGCCTCGAGGACGGGGTGTCCTTTTCTGTGTCGTCTCTGAAAGCTTTGTAGGGTTTCGACGCTGAAATTGATTTCCTCATGCTGTGCACTGGTTCTTCCCCCAGAAGGTTCTCCAGGGGCTCTCGTGCCACCTCCTGACCCCCACTGCTCCCTAGCACCACTTGGGCCTTTCTTTCCTGTTCTCTCAGTCTTTTTGTCAATCTCTAGCCTGTGTTCAGGCTCCTGTGGTCACTCTGATGAAAAGTAGTTTTTTAAAAAATTTTTAATTAAAAAAATAAATTTATTTATTTTAATTTAAATTTTTTAATTTTAAAAAACATTCATTTAAAAATAATTTTTTAATTAAAAATTTTTAAAAGATATTATTTATTTATTCATGAGAGACACAGAGAGAGAAGCAGAGATACAGGCAGAGGGAGAAGCAGGCTCTATGCAGGGAGCCCGATGTGAGACTCGATCCTGGGACCCCAGGATCACACCCTGACCCAAAGGCAGATGCTCAACCGCTGAGCCACCCTGGTGGCCCAATTCCTCAGGCTTCTTGTGAGATTTTCCTCCTGCCGCCTGGGGTGCTTACTTTTACGCTGGTGCCTCTGGTGTAGATTTCTTATTACTCTTGTCTGGGATTTGCTGGGCCTCCTGAAATCCAGTCTGGCGACAGATGTGGGCCCCATCTCTTCAGAACCATCTCTTCTGCCCCTTTCTCTCTTTTCCTGCTGGACCTCTGCTCCTTGCTCTTCTCTGAATGTTTTCTCAACTCTCTTGCACATTTTAACATCTTTTCCATTCTCTTCGCTGCCTCCTGCATGGTTTCCTCTAACCTACTCCCAGCCCATAACCATCCCTCGGCTGTTTCAGAGCGACTGTTAACCGATCCACTCAGTTTTTTATTTGGTTGGTTGCAGTTTGCATTTCCCAGAAGAGGTATTTCACCCTTATTCCTGCACATATTTTCAAAGATGCCTTTAAAAAAAAAAAAACCACACCTCCCGAGCATTATTGTTTCATAATCTGTGTTTTGATCCCCAAACAGGAGGACTTTGTGAATCTATTTTACTTTCTCCTGTTTCTGTTGGTTCTCATCCACAGTGGCTTATTTCCTTATGTTTTCAGGTGCTTTTTACTGTGCTGTGTTTTACCCTTGAGAACCCATCTGTGGCGATTCACCACGATGGGGATGAAAGTGCATCTGCCGGGTGCCTGAGTGGGGGGCTCCCTTGTCCCAGCACCTCCTGAAATCACGTCCCTGCGCCAGGGTCCCTGGACGGGCTCCAGGGTGACCCTGGGCTGCAGCTCCTCCAGAGAACCAGCCTCTAACCAGTTCTTGGGGGCAGTTTTCTCATTTACTTCTTCTCCCATGATGCGGTTGGCACCAGGGCACCTTCCCCAAGGCCCTCTGGTCTATGGGGCCTCGGATACACATGCGAGGAGAGACTTCCCTGCTCCCCTTCCAGAAAGCCGGCACCTCCGTTGCTGGCCAGGCTGGGCTGGGCCGGGGCTGAGGGCTTCCAGCTTCATCCTGGTCCTGTCCCTCGCGGGTAGTCCACACCCAGTGACCACCGGGTGGCAGCGGCGAGGAGGCCCGGCCACTCGGCCCAGCGCTCCTCCAGTGGCCAAGGTGTCAGGGCTGCATGTAGCCCTGCCTAGCCTGGCTCCCCCTCTCCCCCAGAGATGTCAGCAGCCGAAGCAACCCAGGTGCCTCAGCTTTCAACACACAGGCTCCATAAACATCCCTATTCATTCCCTAACACATGAGGAATCAGAGATACTATTTTAAATCTACTTCCCCCTGTACTTTTTTTAAAAGATTTTTATTTATTTGAATGAGACCACAAGTGGTGGGGAGTGAGGGGCAGAGGGAGAAGGAGAAGCCGACGCACCACTGAGCAAAGAACCGGACCCGACGCAGGGCTCTGTCCCCAGGCCCTGGAATCATGACCTGAGCCGCAGGCAGGTGCTTAACTGACTGAGCGTCTCAGGCGCCCCTCAAAGGATTATTTGTAACGTGTGGTCTCGTCGATGCTTTGTTAAGGAAAACTACTCGGCTGCAAAACCTTCTAGTCAACTGCACACCCTTCATTATATTTTAAGCAGCTGTACCCTGTTTAGACCATCCTAACTTCACAAAGACGCTAACTGGTAGACGGTGCCTCTGACCAGGTCACTGGAAATCATCCCAGTTGCGGTAAGAGGACCTGCCAACTGGATCCGGCTTGGCGTCCTATTCCTGCCCTCTGAACCTACCCTTCCTAGTCCAGAACCAGGACTCTGGTGATAGGAGCCAACGCGGAGTCGTGAAGACGCATGAAGATGCTCGCTGCAGTGTCCGCGCCAGGCCGCCTCAGTGTCTCCGAGATGTGGGACGGCGTCGCCCAGAGCGTCCACTGAGCTCAGCGGGCGTCGGCCTTCGTAGGTTAGCTGCGACCTTCCGCAGTGACTGTCGTCGGCGTTCTGAGGAATTCTTCCAACCCCAGAATGTAAGACACACACAGGCGGGGGTGTACTTCCGAAGGTGGGACTTGGGAGGACAGTAGGCCAGCACCGAGGGACGGTGCCCCCGCTGACCCCGAGGTAAGTGGCCCTGCGTGATCTGTCAAGTTCTAAACGCGCTCACTGAACTGAGTGGTGAATCTGTGTCTTTTAGATGTGTCACTATGTAGGCTTATAATTTCCTGAGTCATTAATATGCTTTAGTTTGGCTCCCGAACCAGGCTGTGAGCTGCTGGTGGGAACCGCGTCCTACGACCCACCGTGCTCGCCAGACACTGTAAGGGCTTGCGACGCCGAGGGGGCTGGCGCGGGCCACTTGGGAAGGCCATGGGCCTGGCCTGGGAGCAGGTGCAGAGCTTCCAGGCCACTGCCCTGGGGACATGGGAGGGCTCACCTCTGATCTCGAAGGAGGAGATTAGCCGGACTCCTAGCGCCATGGCGATGTTGGAGAGGAGACAAAAGGCCACTTTTTGGAAGTAGGTCCTCTGGGGGTAGCTGAAAGTCAGGTACAGGTACGGAAGGTAAGTGAAGAAGAAGATGATGCCTCCGGCGGCGGTTGCTACATGAGCTGCGGGAAGATAGGACAGGAGCCCATCAGCCCTGCACGAGGGGACACAAGCCCCTTCCCGCCAGGACCCGCCGCAAACCCTCTCCTTCCCGGACAGCGGCCCTTCACACAGCCCTAGGCCAGCACAGCATCTACCAGCCTCTCAGGGACCCTTCATGTCCTCCCTGTTTTTACAGAGGAGGAAACTGAGGCTTGGCCACGGGAAATACATTGGCCCAGGTTCATGGAGCTAGTAAACCACAGGTCACGGACTCTGGGCTTTGCAGGCACCAGCGCGGTAGCTCCGGATTGGGAGCCGCGGCCAGTGGGAGATGAGCTCAGGTGTGACTTCAGGAAGTCGAGAGAGCGGGGACGTAAGATTGCATCCACCAGAGAAGGAGCCCCGTTAGGCATCGGGCAGCCCTGCGCGAACCTGGCTCTGCACTACGGCTGACCTTGGGTCTTTTTTTTTTTTTTAGATTTATTTATTTATTTATTTATTTATTTATTTATTTATTTATTTATGAGAGAGAGAGAGGCAGAGACACAGGCAGAGGGAGAAGCAGGCTCCACGAAGGGAGCCCGATGCAAGACTCGGTCCCGGGACCCCAGGATCGCACCCCAGGCCAAAGGCAGGCGCCAAACCACTGAGCCATCCAGGGATCCCCTGACCTTGGGTCTTGTCTAACTTCTGAGTTTCAGGTTCTTCTGTAACAGGTGTTAGGAATTGCTGACATTTACTAAGCTCTTACTATATACCAAGGACTGTTATCAGCTCTTTACACGTAATATGCCATTTAATTCTCATAACTAAGTATAAATGCTGTGATTTTCCCATTTCACAGAAGGGGAAACGGAGGCACAGGCTGTGGATTTGCTAAGGTCAGGGTCCACACAGAGATTCAGCCCCGTGAGGCCGGAGCAAGAGCTGTCGGCCTCAATGAGAAAGGAGAAAGGCTGCGGGTGTTGGTGGGCAGCGGGGAGGTTGGACACTGCAGCCTCAGAGAGGCGGGGGACGGTCTGACCAGGGGACGTGGGTGCATTGCAAGGTGGCAGCCAGGGGGCCTCCCCGGGGCCAGTCCACACCGGGGAGAGTTTTTCTCCAGCCAAGCTCTGCAGCTCAAGTGTTGGCCCGGGGTAGGCAGGGCGCTTGGTGGGACCGGGGTGGAGGATTTGCAACACGAGTTCAGTGCAGGGCGTACGGTGTAGAGGAGTCAAAGTGGGGATGGGCCACGGGCTCGGAGCCCCTGAGGAAGCCGGTGAGGCTCACACTGATGGATGGTGACAAGGTTAGGGCCAATGGATCAGGCGTCCTGATAGCAGACAATGAATTACTGGAGGAGGCAAGTGCAAGAGGGAAGGGGTACACAGGGAGCTGTGGGGTCAGGGGTGAGGTGATTGGGGTCAAGATTCTGGTGAGTCGGCGACACCCTCCTCCTGCAAGGGGCTGAGTGTCCTGGGCAGTGAGGGAAGAGGCGTGATCTGAACTGAGCGCACCTTCCCCCTGCAGCCATGTGGTGGGACAGGGGGGTTACGGTGGCCCTAGCAACCTTCAGGGCTCACCAGTGGGGAGTTTCCTGGGCCACCGTTATAAGTCACAAATTTTTACATCATCCGGGATTTTTACATCTTATGTGTTTCAACCCATTGCAAGCATTATTCTTTTTGATGCTCAAGATGCCCTGTCTTAGGTGAGTGGAAGCATCTTCAGGTTGGCTCGTTCATCCTTTAGACATCATCTCCTTGGTCTCTGGAAGCCTGCTCGCTGTGGTCCACAATGTCCAGAGCTCATACCGAATGTTCCCTAGCTCAGACTTCAAATCAGCTGTCCCTCCACAGAGCCCTGGTTCTGCGCAGAGGCCCTCAGAGGCCACAAGGGCCACTAAGGTGTCTAGCGCTCCTGGGCTGCCACTGCTTTTAGGTCTTCTCAGGAATCATGGTAAGAAATACATTCGTAGAAGATGAGCTCATACCAATAATTCTAATTGATATTTATGATTATAGGGTTTTCCTTAACATCTTTGGCATCTCGTCTCTTATAGACTTGCTCTTGAATTCTTGGTTTCTATGTGTTTTGCTTTATCTTCTGGTGTAACTGTATCACTTTCAAAGAAATAATACCAACACTACTCCTAAATACTGAGAATACTAACACAGCTGAAGATTTCTCTGCCATTCCTTTATCCTTAAAATATCTGTCACAAGAGATATATAATTGAAATGCTATGTTTTAAAGGCAGTTGAGGTAATTGCTTACTTTGTGAAGTAATTACTTTCAAGCCCCTAACTTGAAAACATTTATTTCTGTTGGTTTTCAATTCTTAGAAATTGCTTCTATAATTTCCTTTTTCCCCCCCACTATTTTCCCAGTTGTTTACGTGGTGTGGTGGGCAGAATGAAGGCTTCCCAGGGATGTCCAGTCCTGACTCCTGAACCCTTGTGGCTTTACATAGCAGATGGACTTTGCAGAGGAGGTTAAGAATCTTGAGATGAGGAGATTATTCTGGATTGTCTGGGTGAACCCGATGTCACCACAAGCACCCTCAAAAGGGTGTAGGCGTGCCAGAGTGAGGAGAGGTGAAGGAAGGGGAGAGAGCAGTGAAGACAGAGGAAGGAGCCGTGAGCCTGGGAACGCAGGCATCGGGAAGTGTTCTCCTTCTCCCCTCGTGTCTCCAGAAAGAACAAAGCCCAGAGAAATGCACTTTAGACTTTGGTTGTAAGGTAATGAATATGCGCTGTTTTTAACCACGAAGTATGCAGTAGATTGTTAGAGGCAACAGGAACGTAACACGCATGTTTAGAAGTCAAAACCGTGTAATAATTCGCCTCTTAAATGATATCATTGACCTTCATTAGCATACGCTTTGCTCACATATATCTCTACCCCTCCCCCTTTAAATTGTCATTGAGACAGATTCTAACTTTACATGTTGAGTGCCCACTAACACAGATTTATATTTTCATGCTTTTGCCTTATAAATCATATAGGAAAGAGAAGAAGACTTACAAACCATAAATACAAAAACACTGGCTTAAGTTACCTTGACCAGTGGTCTGTGTTTCTTCTTATGGCCTCGAGTTGCTATCTTGTGGCTTTTCATTTCTGCCCAAATAATCCCCTTTAGCCAGGCTGCTGGTAATAAACGCTCCCCACTTCTGTTTATCTGAAAATGTCTCAATTTTGTCTTCATTCTTTTTTTTAAGATTTTTAATTTATTCACGAGAGACAGAGAGAGAGAGAGAAGCAGAGACACAGGGAGAAGGAGAAGCAGGCTCCCTGAGGGGAGCCCGATATGGAATTTGATCCCAGGTCCCAGGGATCACGTCCCAACCCAAAAGCAGATGTTCAACCACTGAGCCATCTAGGTGCCCCTCGTCTTCATTCTTAAGGGATAGTTTTGCCAGATACAGAATTCTTGGTTGAGTTTTTCCCCCCTCAAGATTTAAAATGCCATCTCATTACCTTCTGGACCTCATAGTTTCTGAAGAGAAATCAGCTATTAATCTTACCGAGGGTTACTTATATGTGAGGAGCCTCTTCTGCTTTCAAAATGATCTTTATGGCTTTGAGTTTTGACAATTTGAATGACTCTTGGTGTGGATCTCTTTGAGTTTAACCTGCTTGGAGTTCTCTGAGATTCTTTGGTTTATAGATCCATGTTTTTCATCACATTTGGGGCATTTCAGTCATTCATTTTTTTTTTTTAGATTTTATTTATTTATTCATGAGGCACACAGAGAGAGGCAGAGACACAGGCAGAGGGAGAAACAGACTCCCTGCAGGAAGCCTGATGGAAGACTGGATCCCAGGACACCGGGATCCTGACCTGAGACAAAGGTAGACACTCAACCACTGAGCCACTCAGGTACCTCAGTCATTATTTCTTTGAATATTTTTCTTCATTTTTTCTTTCTCTTTTTTTTTTTCTTATTCTGGGACTCCAGGGATGTGTATGTTAGTATGCTAGGTGTATCTCTCAGATTCTGTTCCAACCAAGAAAATCCCAGCACCATCTGGTTTCACTGGTGAATTATACCAAACATTTAAAGAAGAATGAACATCAAACCCTCCCAAAGTCTAGACCAGTAAAAAATAAAGGTGAATAAAATTGTGTTAATTTTTTCCTTCATTCTATCCATGTGGCATATTACATTTACTGCTTTTCTTTTCTTTTCTTTTAATTTTTATTTATTTATGATAGTCACACACAGAGAGAGAGAGGCAGAGACACAGGCAGAGGGAGAAGCAGGCTCCATGCACCAGGAGCCCGACGTGGGACTCGATCCCGGGTCTCCAGGATCGCGCCCTGGGCCAAAGGCAGGCACCAAACCGCTGCGCCACCCAGGGATCCCTGCTTTTCTTTTTTTTAAAGATTTTATTTATGAGAGAGAGAGAGAGAGAGAGAGAGAGAGAGAGGCAGAGACACAGGCAGAGGAGAAGCAGGCTCCATGCAGGGAGCCTGAGTGGGACTCAATCCCGGGACTCCAGAATCATGCTCTGGGCCAAAGGCAGGCGCCAAACCTCTGAGCCACCCAGGGATCCCCATATTGCTTTTCGTATGTTGAATTATTCTTGTGTTCTTGGTATAAATCCCCCTTTGGATGGTCTGTGATCATTTAAATGTACCATTGAATTTAGTTTGCTAGTATTTTGTTGAGGATTTTTTACATCTCTATTCAGAAAGAATACTGGTCTGTAATTTTATTGGTCTGATGTCTTTTCTGGCTTTGGTATTAAGGTAATCTTGGCCTACAGAATGAGTTTGAAATATCTGCGTTCTTATTTTTTAGCTTTCAGTTTTATTTATTCTGGATACAAGTCTCTTATGATATATATTACTTGCAGATGTTTTCTCCCAGCCTGTGGGTTATCTTTTCACTTTCTTAGTGGTATACTTTGAAGTACAAAAGTTTTTAATATTGATTTAGTCCAATTTATCAATTTTCCTTTTTATGACCTATGCTATTGGTGTCATGTCTAAGAAATCACCATCTAGCCCAAGATCACAAAGATTTTTGGCCACATTTTCTTTTTTTTTTTTTTTTTTTTTTTTTTTTTTTTTTAATTTTTTTTTTTTTTTTTAATTTATGATAGTCACACAGAGAGAGAGAGAGAGGCAGAGACACAGGCAGAGGGAGAAGCAGGCTCCATGCACCGGGAGCCCGACGTGGGATTCGATCCTGGGTCTCCAGGATCGCGCCCTGGGCCAAAGGCAGGCGCCAAACCGCTGCGCCACCCAGGGATCCCGCTGGCCACATTTTCTTTTAAAGGTTTGTAGTTTTAGCCCTTATATTTGAGTTTATAATCCACTTTGAATTTTTATGTATGATGTGATATAGAGGTCCAACTTCATTCCTGTGTACGTAGATACCTCACTATTCCATCAACTTTTGTTGAAAAGACTATTCCTTGCCTGTTGAATTGTCTTGGTGCCTCATCAAAAATCGATTGATCATAAACTCTGAGTTGTGTGGTGTATTTTTGCTTTCACTTGAAACTCTTACCTGCTATTTGCTTTCCACTCTGGTCTTGCTTTACTGTGCTTCTGACCTCATTGGTTTTGTTTTTTGTTTTTAGCCCTCTGCTTATTTCTCATGCTTGACCACAAGTTCAGTTTTTTGGGTTTCAACCTTCAGCACCACGTTAGCCTTAGCTTTCAAGCATCCTTTGATACTCATGTTCCAAGGTCCCCACATAACTCTCTTACTTGACCCTCCCCCCCACCATGTTTGCCCCTTAACAATTGAGGGATAGTGGGGGAACTCGGTATAGAGTTTGAATCAGGAGACAGTGTTCAGGCCTAGTCAACCTCCCAAGGAACCCACTCCCATCTTGGAAGAGTTAGTATTTGCCAGGGCCCAAATATTAGAACATTAGAACATTACATTACATTGTAATGTAATTACATTACAATACATTACATTGATGTAAAATATTCACAAATGTAAGCAATAAACTGCCTGGCCTCATTTATACCATATTTTGATTTTTCCCCAAGTTCTCTAAAGCCCTTCCTCTTTTCTTCTTTTTTTTTTTTTAAGATTTTATTTATTTATTCATGAGAGACACAGAGAAAGAGGCAGAGATACAGGCAGAGGGAGAAGCAGGCTCCATGCAGGGAGCTCAACGTGGGACTTGATCCCAGGTCCTCAGGATCAGGCCCTGGGCTGAAGGCGGCACCAAACCACTGAGCCACCTGGGCTGCCCAAGCCCTTTTTTCTTTTGTCACCAACTGTTGGACCTACCCTCCACTAGTGTTTTTATCTCTACCTCTTCTATTTGAACCAGGAGTTAATTCTCCCACACTCTGACTTTGACCCCATTTCCTGTTATTTTTGTTCCTAGTAGTTCATCGATTCTACCAATCGTTTTAGAAGTAACACCTGTCCCAACAGGACCAAAGTCCCAGGAACTTCAGTCTTACTATGGTGTCTTAGCCACCCTACCATTGTGCCCAAATTCACAGTCAAGACCTGGAAAACTATCTGAACTGATGCCTTACCCCTCATTTCCTTCCAGGATGGGACTTGACCCCATTTGTAGCCATTTGAAATGACATTTAGACGCCAAATGAAGCATAAAAACATACATACATGGAGATGGATCCCTAAGCCTTCAACAGGGAATGGAAATAATCCATTGCTAAAGTAGCCAGAGGAGAAGTGAAAACCTGGCTTTGGAGGACTGATCATTCATGCTGTAGATGACTTCAATAGCAGTGCTTCCACAAACAGAAGTCATAAACACCCTCCCTGACAGAAAATTGTATCAGGACTTACCTTTTTGGAAGAATGTGCTGATCATGAATGCAAATAAAATCGTGGCAGTGGCAAAACACAGTAGAAAAACGAATATCAAGCTAGGGTCACTGTTTCTGAACACCACCACACCATGCACCTACGGAGCAGTCATAGACACATGTCGTTTTTGCATGGAGAGAATAAAGAGAAAGCATGAAATACCCATATACAATGCAGAAATTTTTTAAAAACTCACAAGATTTTCCTAAATTAAACAACAGATTTTTTTTTAAGGCAGACTTTGAGCCAGTATCCATGACCATTTACAAATGATGCTGTGTCCATGTACCTTTTTTTAAGAAACCATGAGTCCAAATTCAATTTTTGACCCAGGGTGAATCTTTTTTGTTTTATTTATTTATTTTTTTTTGGAGATTAATTTTTATTTATTTATTTATGATAGTCATACAGAGAGAGAGAGAGAGGCAGAGACACAGGCAGAGGGAGAAGCAGGCTCCATGCACCGGGAGCCTAACGTGGGATTCGATCCCGGGTCTCCAGGATCGTGCCCTGGGCCAAAGGCAGGCACCAAACCGCTGCGCCACCCAGAGATCCCTCTTTTTTGCTTTAATGACAAAGTTTATCCCATTTGTCATTATCACTATTACAGATGACTATAGTCTGTCATCTCCTCGTTTTAATACTTTCTGGGCATTTTCTTTGTTTTATGTATTTTGCCGTGTGGTCTGGATTTTCTTGCCTTCCCTTATCACAAGTGCCCCAATTTTGGTAATTTAGAAGGTAAATTTTCATATATTCACATGGTGGATTATACTTTAATCATTAAATGAAAGCAGATTGGAATGCCAGATTTCAATGACAGCATAGAAAGAAAATTTAACAAGGTAGCATGGGCCTAAGAGATCATCCTCATCTTTTATAATAACTGTTTTCAGCCATCTGTGGAGTATAAAATTTGTAATGTTTTAGAATTTATAAAATACATCTTTTGGAATTCCACTTTCCTAATGAAATTGATCACACCCGTGTCCAGTCCTCGCAGACCTGGGAACGGAGGGAGGGCAGGGCTCTCCCAGTCCAGCGCCTGGTCCCCCCGGAGTTCATTAAGTACTACCATGCATCCACCTGAGGCTTTCCAAGTGCTCATCACTAGCTGTGCTCTCACCATATGCCGAATCTCAGCACCACCACCCACACTTCTGCACGACTGAGCACATCCCAAGGGCCCGGAGACATGTACCTCTATGCAGAAGAGGATGGTCATGAAAGAGATGACAACGAGGGTCGAGATGAAGAACATGATGAACCAGGCAGCCCAGTGTTGCCAGTTGTTCACTCCCATCATGCACATGTACTCCTAGGGAAAGCAGAAGAGCCATTGGGTGGAGACATCCAAGGCAGCCTCACAGACCGCCTCCATCAGACTGCACCGTGCATTCGAGAACATGGAGCAAACCAGACATGGTGGGTCAGGTGAAGCCAGGTCCCTCTTGGATGCCACCAGCAGGCTATTTCTGTACATAGTCATAAGAATCAATCAAAGGAGAAGAAAATTAAAGAGTGAGAAGGTAGATTGTCTACAAAGAGCAAAAGATGAGGAAAGAGAGGGTGGGCATCAGAGCGCAGAAAGTAGAGAAGCTCTCGGGATCGGCCTTGTGTTGGGTTGGGGCTCCCTGGAGAGTGCTCCTAGCTGCAGCAACAAGAGAGGGAGTGACTCCTGGGGGGTCATTCCCCTCCTGTGCATTTCTCAGGGAGTCAGTCTGTAAGCATTTCTTTTTTTTTTTTAATTTTTATTTATTTATGATAGTCACACACACAGAGAGAGAGAGAGAGAGAGAGAGAGAGAGAGAGAGAGGCAGAGACACAGGCAGAGGGAGAAGCAGGCTCCATGCACCGGGAGCCCGACATGGGATTCGACCCCGGGTCTCCAGGATCACGCCCTGGGCCAAAGGCAAGCGCCAAACCACTGCGCCACCCAGGGATCCCTGTAAGCATTTCTTGAATAGCTGCCACAGGCGAGCCCCACAGCAAGGACTCCTGTCGTAACAACAGATGGGGTCGCCTGAATTGCAAGCAAGTCAAATGATGAAAGAACATCCCCCTTTCAACTCACCTTGGAGGCGACACCTAAGCAACCTCCTCCCTGCCTTGGCCTCATTCCCACTCTGGTCATTTTTCATGAGTGCTTCCACACTGTCCCTAGGCCTGCATCCCACGTCCGGTGAGGTTACCTTCATCTTTCTTTCTTTCTCCAGGGCAATAGAATTGATGATGATGAGCTCGATGCAGATGAAGCTGAGCATGAGCAAAAGAGGGAACTCATTCTGAAGGATCAACAAGAACTTGTCTTGGATGTGGGCTCCATGGGGGAATCTCTTCACAAGCACTGTGAGGTCCTCAAACATCCGGGTGGTCGCATTGTGGGCATGGTGCTGCATGATGGCCTTGTCCAGGGCATGCTGTATGGCCAGGAAGCCTTCCTGGTTGTATCCTACATGAGAACACAGTGGACATCAGGCATAAAAGACAGGAAGACTGAAGATGCAGAACCCCCGAGGAGTCAGAGGGGTGTGGCTAATGATTCATGACAACACACAGACAGGAGTAGGACAGGCTCTCTTGTGTCCACATGCTGCCATGTAGAAGGAACAGAGTCACAATGGACCCCCCTATGCCTGTGATGGCATCTTTTTATCAGGAAACAGGGCAAAGATGTCCTGAGTAGATGGAAGAACAGGGGACATGCAATACAACACTCTTGCATGGTGGGGTCACCTCCTCTCTGCTACGTGCCTCACTTCAGGAAATGGTGCCTTCTCTGCACTTCTAATCATCCGGAACGTATGAGATGGTTAGATTCAAAGCACTTGGGAGACACAGCCCCCCTCACCAACTGTGACCTGTCTCTGAGCCATCACTGCTGTGACCCCAGAATTATGGGCATTGGATTTTGCTGCCACACCTCAAAAACAATCTTTACTGTAAGCAGCCCTTATTTTGATACGGTGTCATCGGTGGGCTTAGGTCAGTTTTTGGGAAACATAAGTTGAAGGGCCCAGACCTCTGGTTTGGGGGTCTTGTAAGAGATAATGGCCCCACCTCCAAGTGAGGGTTACTGGCCCTCCTTATGGGCAGAGCCAGGGTGGGGCGTGCAGCAATGAAGTGGAGGTGACCAAGGTCTCCCGGTGGCCCAGACCTACGCAGACCCCCTGATCCTCCAGGATGAAAACAAGAGGAACAAACTGTCCATAATAAAATCCTGGGAACCGGGATCCCTGGGTGGCACAGCGGTTTAGCGCCTGCCTTTGGCCCAGGGCGCAATCCTGGAGACCTGGGATCGAATCCCACATCGGGTTCCCAGTGCATGGAGCCTGCTTCTCCCTCTGCCTATGTCTCTGCCTCTCTCTCTCTCTATCTCTGTGTGACTATCATAAATAAATAAAAAATTTAAAAAAAAAAACTTTAAAATCCTGGGAACCATCACATGGTCTTGACTGCATGTAGGGGAGTTATCCTTTCCAGAACCACAAAAACCATAAGCGCCTTGGATTTGCATTCCCACTTGCCAGGCTTGCAGGCCCAAGGCATCACATCAGTTGTGTGGTCATCCTACAGTGAGGTGTGGGTTGTCAGCTTAGTTTCCTACAAGCAGGGGCATCTCCCTGAACCACCTTGAACAAAAGAGGGAGACCAAAAACTCTACAGTGTCGTGGAGAGCATGTGTCCCTCAGGAGAGGACAGCCTGCAGAAAGCTAAAGGCAAGTAGATATTTTTATAAGCAAACACTAGTACATACAGAAGCATACGAATCATCCTTGTTCCTGTAAAATGCTTCCATCCTTCCTCCAAGCAGTTCAGCATCACTACAAGGCAATCAAACGCTTAACTGCTGCTTTAACTTGCCCTAGAATGAAAGCATTTTACCCAGTGACACATTTCTAAATGTAACTTGTTCAACCTCTTCTGGAACGTTGGGGACCAGGCTGCCGCACGCGTGGCCACGCACACGCGCCTCCTCACCAGGGAGTCCCCCGTCGATCTGTCCAAAGGCCCGCGGCGCTTGACTGGGGTTACGAGGGTAGAGGAGGGACGTGCCCCAGCCTTCCAGGGTATCGTAATAGGACGTCAGCTTCGAGGTTAAGGAGTTCCTCTGAATGCAGCTGAAGCGCAGGCGGTACTTGATCTGCGGAGGACAAAGGGAGGACAACCGTGGTCACAAGGTCCTGACACTCAGGGGGACGGGAGGGACGGCTGTCCCCTCTGGAGAGCGCACCGTGCTCTGCCACGACCGTCCCGGAGGCCCCTTCAGAAAGGCAGCCCCGAGCCCCAGGCCTCCACCGAGTGGCCACGGTTTGGACAAGTGACTTGACCTTCTTGTCTTGGTTTCCTCATTAGTAAAACGGCGATGCTTGCACGGCACCCTCCCAGCGGTACCGTAGGATCAGTCGGGTGATCCCTGGGGTGTGCCTGGCCTTCCCTGGTGCTCGGAAAGTGTTGCGGGCTGTTTAGAGACACCTCTATCTCTGGCTTCCAATACCCCACGCGAGTTCTAACAATCAGGATGCGACTGTCCGGCACAACACACCACCTGCCACATTTGAGTCCACGTGACTTGCCGTGGCGGCAGCTCCATTCCTGGCTCTCTCCTGGGCACAGACTCTTAAAGCTCCCGAGTCAGGAATTGCTATGAATCCCGCTCTGCTGGTAAGGAAACTGAGGCCCCGAAATGCTAGTGCCCCTCCCACGGCTACACAGCCCCTAATGAAGCAGCTGGAGCACACGGCCCTCCTCCCTGGGCTGGAGGGTCCCCCGAGCAAGGCTGCCCCGGTTAGGACCCGGAGAATGGGGAGGGGTGCCCGCATTCAGGCCGGAGGATGCGAGCCCAGGAGTGTCGGCCTGCCCCCTCCAGAAGGAAGTCGGCAGGCAGGTGACACGGTGGACGCCGGGCAACAGAGGGGCCGCTCAGGTGGCAAGAGTCCCTAATGGACCCCCCCCCCAAGGCTGGGGCGCCCTCAGGCTGGCACAGGGAGGCTGTCCTTACCTCCAGCGGCAGGGGCTGCTGCCTGTCGTTGAAGCTGTGATCCAGCACGATTCCAGCCAACACGTAGAAGGCCCTGGGATCCTGGATTATGTAATTTTCAAATAAAGGCACTGAAGGGTAGCCTAGAACTGCGGAGAGAAACCCCGTCGGCGTGGGCGGGGGCTGGTGAGGGCCTGCGCGGCTGCCCTCCCCATCCTCTCTGGGCAGGTGCTCCTGGGCACGTGCTTCTGCATGCTTCTGGCGCCCGGGCTGGGGGGGTGCAAGCCTCACTCACTGCCCCGGCCTCCTGCACACACGCAGCCCGCAGGGCGGCGGCGCACAGGCCGGTGGCGGTGGCCCAAGCGCCCCCCTCGGGTCCCGGGGCCCAGCTGGGCTGCCAGCGGTGGACTGGGTGCTTGGCCACGTTGGTGGGGAGCTGGCCGGTGTTTGTCTTCACGTCACGACAACCCAATGTGCACGGACGGAGCTGCCCTGAGGACACAGATTATTGCCATGGGCACCTGCTGTCGCCTGCGGCCAGGCCGCATGCACGATCCTCTCGAAGGAACTCCTCCTCAGAAAGCGCCAGGTGCCACTCGCAGTCCCGCCTCCTCGCCGCCCCTGGGTCCCCACCCTGCTCCCCGTCCCGGAGCCGGCGCGTCCACGCGGTGGTGCTCTTCCACCGCCTGCCCCGCGGGGACCTGCATGCTGCTCACCTCGCACACGCAGCCGTCCCTGCAGGACGCATGTCTGAGCACCTCTGTCCCCTGCCGTCTGTGGCTCCGTCGCCCCCTTCCAGGAACTGCCGTGGTGCGGCCGGGATGTCGGGGTCCCTCACAGCCACGACCTCGCGGTTCACACTTCCCAGCTCTTCATCCTTTTGCTTGACACTGTCATGCGCCGCTGGGACCTCGGCTCCTGGGCCGCCTGCTGGCTGTCCCACCTGCCCGCCCTGTCCCTTCCCTGCAGGCCATGTCTGGGTCCCTCTTTCTGTTCCTTTTGCTGTCTCCGCGGCACGGGAGCCCGGTTTAGTTTTGGAGTGGCGGTGTTTTCTCAAATGTTTCTGAGAACACTGATGAGAATTTTTTAATGAACTGGATTCAAAACAGATAGAGCTCGCTCGTGGTAAAAAATCCCCGACGGTGTCGGAGGCTACGTGGTGCCGAGTCACCCACCTCCCTCAGGCCAGGCTGCCCATCGGGACACAGACTCTGTACGTTTAACAAGAAAAAAAAAGGCTCTGACTTATGCCTCTGGCCACAATGGAGTAACGGAACTGGATTCACCTTCCCACCAAAAATATTCAGAGGACTGGACAAAAAGGGAGAGAGAGAGAGAATCCGGTTCTTCAGACAATGACAGCAGGTAGCACAGTATCATGATCCGGGAGAGGAGAGGAGCCAGGAGGGGCGGCCACCAACGCCCGTGTTGTCTGGAGGGCAGGAAGGCTGCGTGACCGGGATTTCAAGTAGCACTTACATCTGGGTGACAGGGTTAGGAGTCAATTCTTCCTTTTTTCCTACATATAGTTGATTTTTTTCCTTAGCCATACTTAGGCTTCTTTTTAAACACACACAAACATTTGGTTAAATTGAGAAAAACTGAACACATACAGGACGCGGTACAAAACACAGACGTGAGCTCTGATGAGCAGTTAGAAAGTTAACAGCCAAATAATTGCCTCTTGGGTCAAGAAATAAAATATTTTTACACTAGATTTTTTTGAGGGGGGGGTGTCTGGTAGTTTCTTATTATCAATTTGCATTCAAGAACACGTTTTTAATATTTACCCGGCATTTGTTTTTCAGCAGGACGGCTGGCGCACATAACCCTCTGGGCTGGGATCCCTGGGTGGCGCAGCGGTTTGGCGCCTGCCTTTGGGCCAGGGCGCGATCCCGGAGACCCGGGATCGAATCCCACGTCGGGCTCCCGGCGCATGGAGCCTGCTTCTCCCTCTGCCTGTGTCTCTGCCTCTCTCTCTCTCTGTGACTATCATAAAATTAAAAAAAAAAAAAGAAAAGAAAAAGAAATCCATAACCCTCTGGGCTGTACTAGCAGAAAGGAACAGCGCTGATCTTTTTCCCAGAGACGGGAACCATCGCAGTGTTTGCGTGGCTCTCACTGAGTTAGGTGTCACCCCTGGATGAGTCAAGGTAGCGAGGGGCCCGCCGAGCGCAGACTGGGGTAGACACGGGTTGCGCGGCCCATCCTGAGCTCGGGGAGGAGGCTACACCTCTCCGGGGGAGAACTAGGCCGTGTGCCTTATGAGGAGGGAAAGGAGAGGGCTGTCATGGTTTGCAGGGATCCTTCCTCCTAGTGCCGAGGATCTGCGGATGGGCACGGCAGGAAGAGCCGTGAATCGAGACGTGAGTCGGAAGTAATAAGACAGAAATAACTTCAGGACGTCTATCACAGGAAAAGATAAACTGCCTGAGGTGGGATCTCCAGGGAAGACAGAAGAGAAATGTTTTCTTCTTGGTGGAGGCCACCGAGGGGTCCCCGGCAGTGGGGTGGAAGTCCAGCCTGGGCACAAAGCCCCAGTGTTTCAGGAGCAGGAGGGGCTGCCCGCTGAGAAAGGCCCAGAGCAGGCAGGATGGCTTCTGACCCGTGACATCCCGCTGCAGACCCATCTCGAATTCACCCATGCAGCTCGGGCGGCCTGTGGCCTGCGTGCCAGCCCTGCTCAAAGGCTTCCTCCTGAATGTTCTCGAAGAATACTGTGGGCTCTGGTCCCTACCCTCCTCCAGACACAGAGCTTCTAAATCAGATGACATGACTTGTCTTCCTCAGACCCCTCCCATGGCGGGCGGCCTTGGGAGCCTGGAAGGAAACCCAGGACTTGGACGAGGTCTTCGAGGCTCCCGTGACACTCCAGCCTCATGGGGACCACTCTTCTGGCTTCCTTCTGCTTCGTCCGAGCCTATCGGCTCACCGACCCTGTGATGTCGCCCCCGGCGGGCTGCCCCCAAGTCACCCTCCCACCCTGCAGGGTTTGTCCTTCACCATCAGGGATGGTACCTTAGGACGCCAGGCAAGCATGAACCACAAAGCAACGGTCCCCACTCATGTTGCCACTGAGGGCCTTTGAAAGAATTATCTGGGGACACCAGGGTGGCTCAGTGGTTGAGCACCTGCTTTCGGCCCAGGGCCTGGTCCTGAAGGCCCAAGATCGAGTCCTGCGTTGGGCTCCCTGCATGGAGCCTTCTTCTCCCTCTGCCTGTGTCTCTGCCTCTCTCTGTCTCTCGTGAATAAATAAATAAAATCTTAAAAAAAAAAAAGGGTTGTCCGCGTGGAGTGGCGCTCAGAGCAGGGAGAGGACAGCCCTTTCTTTTCATGTTGTCCCTTACTGTATTACTGGAATACCCTTATGAAAACACACACTACAATTATAATAGTTTTGGAAGATGACCGCACATTTTGTGGACTCCACGTTTTGAAAAACCGTGTCTGGCTGAGTGTGTGAATTCAGCCGCCAGCCTTGTGCAGGTCAGGTGGGAGGCCAGGGGTGAGCAAGGCGGCCGCGGTCTCCTGCTCTCGGGGGGCAGCAGCCCCGCGGGAACTGCCCCGAAACCCCGGCCTGGCCACGGGGTGAAACATGAACCAAAGGCCGTGAGCACAGCCAGCAGGGCTCTGGGGCTGAGAACCTGGACCCCGGGGGGAGCCCCGCTCCCCCCATCGCAGGGACGGTCGGCACAGCGGGGGCCCATGGGCGCGGGGAGCCAGACCCCACGGGCCTGAGAGCTGCTGGCCGAGGGTGAGGGCGGGCCGGCGGCGGTGAGATGCAGGAAGTGGCAGTTGTTGGGGCTGTGGTGGCAGCCATCGGAGGACCCGCCTCAGCGGCTCCAGACCACGGTGGGGAATTGCCACGTGGCCTCCGATGAAGGCCCCAACTCTCTGGAAATGCCCCCCACCTTCCCGTCTTCGTGCCCCACCTTCAAACTCGACCTCAAAGGCCTTGGCCACCGCTTCCGTGACAGCCTTCAGCGTGTCACTCTGAGAAGGGACGTAGACCAGCTGGTATGTGCTCTGCGCCGCAAGGCGGAGGAAGTCGGGCAAGAGGCTGACGTTGAGGGCGAGGTAGCTCATGGGAGGCCTTTCCCTGGGCACGCTGTTGAGGCGAAGGTACATGATGATCACGGAGAAGAGCAGCGGGGCCAGGACCTCCAGCATCGTCACCAGCGGCTTCCGCTTCTACAACACAACAGAAATTGCGTGCTGATCCAAAGCACAACACAGGCGTGAGGTCCCCGCGGGCCAGGCTTCCACTTGCAAAGCTCTTTCCTTCCCCCGGCCTCCCTGCACAACCTCTGAAAGAGAAAACAACACAAAATGAACGGGAAGCCTCTCCATCTGACTTGTCCATGGCGGCGAGAAACCAGGAACGGGGTGCCGGCTTTGGCAGCAACAGTTTGCAGAGTTCTGGGGGGGAACCGGTCTTATTTACAGAAAGGGGCCCATTCCGAGTAAGGCTGATTTTTTCCTAAAGATATTATTTATTTATTCATGAGAGACACACAGAGAGAGAGAGAGAGAGGCAGAGACACCGGCAGAGGGAGAAGCAGGCTCCATGCAGGGAGCCGAATGCAGGACTCCATCCCAGGTCTCCAGGATTACGCCCTGGGCCGAAGGCAGACGCCTAACCACTGAGCCACCCGGGCATCCCTGATTCTTTTCTTTAAACCGTTATTAGAACCCAACGTAAAAAAAAAAAAAAAAAAGAACCCAATGTAACTTCAGCATTCAGTCCCTCCCTCCCCAGGAGATACCCAGAGACCCTCCGAGCACCTCACCCACCTTCAAGATGAAATTCTTCCAAAGAAGAAGTTTTAAATTCCTGCCCAATGTCATGTTTCCAGCTGACCAGGAGGGTGAGCTCTGGCTGGGAAGCAAATGGGGCAAACGTCAGGCATCACACAAAAATGCTCCCCGTCCTAGGAGCTTCCAGAGCATCGATCCCTCCTTGTTGCTGACCCCCACTCTGGCCCCGCCAGCATCCCACTGCTGCCTCCGCTGGGGACCTCCCTGGGCTGTGGGGGGTGAAGTGCACGGACACGCTGATGATCGCCTCTATACTGCCAGCCTGCACCTGTCCAGCCCGCACTGCACCAGCCAGTGCATGTGGCTCCACTGCCCCAAACCCTCCCCTCAGAGCAGGAGCCGCGCCTCTGGAGGACGAGGACTGGGAAGCTCTCCCTGGCTCCCCTCATTCCCACGTGTGCCCGCCCACCCTGCAGGCCTGCTTGTGACCCAGAGGGGACCAACCGGGCTTCTGCCCACAGCCCGCCCACCTCCCTGATGCATCAACACGTGACACCACCCTCTCAGTGAGGCCTTCCTTGCCACTCTAAAATTTCAGAAATGCCACAAACCATCCCTGTTCATTTTTCTTTTTAACCCTTTTAAACCACCAAACAAGTTTCTTTTTTTTTTTTTGCGTGTATTTTGTAGTTTTACCACTGAGTCCCCAAACTCAAGAGCAGGGCCAGCCCGTGCTCACCACTCAGTAAATGCGGGTCCCCTAAATCGAGGCATTACGGGGCACCCAACCAGTGGGGGAACGTGCTCGTGAGGAAGGACACGCTGGCAGAGCAGCAGGTCCCTTCCCCTTCAGTCTTTGCTTCCCGGGGTATCGCATGCTTTAGCTTTCAGCCACCAGCACTACGAGATTTTCACCCAGAAAGATGATTTTCTGTCGGTGAAAGAAGAACGGGTGCATTTTCCTCAGGTGAAAGACTCTCTGACACTAACTGCAACTGAAGGTACACTTTGTTATTTTTTAAAGATTTATTTATTTTAGGGGCACCTGGGCGGCTCAGTAGGCTGAGCATCTGCCTTCGGCTCAGGTCATGATCCTGGGGTCCTGGGATCGAGTCCTGTGTTGGGCTCCCTACACAGTGGGGAGTCTGCTTCTCCCTCTCCGTCTGCCTCTGCCCCTGCTTGTGCTCTCTCACTCTCTCTCTCAAATAAAAATCAAAATCTTTAAAAATAATAATAATAAAATAGTTTTTAAAACTTATTTGAGGGCAACCCAGGTGGCTCAGTGGTTTAGCGCCACCTTCAGCCCAGGGCCTGATCCTGGAGACCCGGGATCGAGTCCCACGTTGAGCTCCCTGCATGGAGCCTGCTTCTCCCTCTGCCAGTGTCTCTGCCTCTCTCTCTGTGTGTGTCTCTCATGAATAAATAAATAAAATCTTTTTTTTAAATTTTTATTTATTTATGATAGTCACACAGAGAGAGAGAGAGTCAGAGACACAGGCAGAGGGAGAAGCAGGCTCCATGCACCGGTAGCCCGACGTGGGATTTGATCCCGGGTCTCCAGGATTGCGCCCTGGGCTGAAGGTGGCGCTAAACCGCTGCGCCACCCAGGGATCCCATAAATAAAATCTTAAAAAAAAAACTTATTTGAGAGAGAGGGAGGGCACATGGAACTTTCTCCAGAATAGACCACACACTGGGTCACAAATAAGGTCTCAACCAATACCAAAAGATTGGGATTGTCCCCTGCATATTTTCAGACCATAATGCTTTGAAACTAGAACTAAATCACAAGAAGAAATTTGGAAGAAATTCAAACACGTGAAGGTTAAAGACCATCCTACTAAAAGATGAAAGGGTCAACCTGGAAACTAGAGAAGAATTAAAGATTCATGGAAACTAATCAGAATGAAGGTACAACCATTCAAAATCTTTGGGATACAGCAAAAGCAGTCCTGAGAGGGAAATACCTCGCAATACAAGCATCCCTCAAAAAACTGGAAAAAACTCAAATACACAAGCTAACCTTGCACCTAAAGGAACTGGAGAAAGAACAGCAAATAAAACCTACACCCAGCAGAAGAAGACAGTTAATAAAGATTCGAGCAGAACTCAATGAAATCGAGACCAGAAGAACTGTGGAACAGATCAACGGAACCAGGAGTTGGTCCTTTGAAAGAATTAATAAGATAGATAAACCATTAGCCAGCCTCATTAAAAACAAAAGAGAAAAGACTCAAATTAATAAAACAAGAGAGAGAGGGAGGGACGGTGGGGCGGGGCAGGGAGAGAGGGACAAGCCTACTCTGCGCTGAGTGTGGAGCCTGATGCGGGGCTCGATCCCAGGACCCCGAAATCCCAATCTGAGCGGAAACCAAGAGTTAGACACTTAACCAAATGGGCTCCCCAGGCTCCCCTGAAGATACATTTTAAAGTCTAATTATGTGATGTGAATTTCACCTCCATTTAAAAAAAAAAGAGTGACTATAAGACACGTTTATATTAGCCATTGCTGCAGGCTTCTTGTCTGACACCCCAACCACAGGTATTTATTTCCTACTCATGGCTCTGCTGTCTCCTGGGATTGGCTGGACTCGTCTTCTAGGTTGATTATGGGCCAACGTGTGTCCCCCTTCTCCACACTCCCCAACTGCTGTGTTGAAGTCCTAACCCCTAGGGCCTCAGCCTGTGGCTGTTTTTAGAGGCAGGGCCTTTACAGAGGCCACGAAGGCCAAACGAGGCCGTGGCGGTGACCTGACCGTGTCCTGACAGTTTGAGGAGACGCGGGTGCCCAGAGGCAGCAGGGGTGCCAGGCACAGAGGAAAGACCACGACGAGAGGACGAGCCCTAGGAAGCACCCCCTTTAAGCCACCTGCACACCCAGGAGAGGGACTGAAATGGCAGGAAAAACCACCCTTGCGGGCACCTGGATCTTGCACTTTCAGCCTCCAGAACTGGAAAAATAAACTTGTGCTGTGTAAGCCACCCGGTGTGGCGTATTTTGTTGGGGCAGCTGGAGTGGACGGATGCAGGGCTGTTCTACAAGTCTCCTCCGAGCTGGAGCATGTTGTTGGATGGCAAGAGGCCAACCCAAACCACACGAATGCATTTAAAGCATCTTCCCCCCACACTTGCTAACCGTTCCAACATCAAGGCAAGAGGGAAGGCAGCTGTGTCTGCTCTAGTGCGAGGCACTGCGACTCACATGGCAACGGGCATGGGCATAAAACTTAACACAAGGGAGAAGGACATAGGGGGGACATTACCCATCTGCCCAAACACCCAACATTTAGGTCTTCAGAAGCTGGTGTTAGCATTTGCCAGCCTTAACCTGTGCCATGTAGATGAGGAGGTACTTTGGCTCATTACAGGCCCATCACAGATTATAAAAGAAAAACATTCAGACCATCAGAACACACGGTTTTCTCCAACCACACGTACAGCTCAATGGAATGAGACAGGACAATAGAGTAGATTGGGACGCCTGGCTGGCTCAGTGGGTTAGCATCTGCCTTTGGCTCAGGTTGTGACTCCAGGGTACCAGGATCGAGTCCCACATGGGGCTCCCCGCATGGAGCTTCTTCTCCCTCTGCCTATGTCTCTGCCTCTCTCTGTGTGTCTCTCATGAATAAATAAACAAAATCTTTAAAGAGAAAAAAAAAAGAAAACTAGAGTAGATGGAGGTTTTCATACTGAGCATCTTGTAGGATTTCTTTTTTTTTCTTCTTCTTGTAGGATTTCTGATAATGCAGGTAGACTGTTCCTCCTAAGGTTTAATTCAATGTTTGTGACGTACAACAACTAGCAACTATGTGCTGAAGGCACTGTGTCTGGGCACATGCCATCATCAAAAGGTCAGTCCATAATAGGGGTGCTTGGCTGCTCCACCGGTGGAGCATGCAACTCTTGGTCTCAGGGTCTGAGTTCGAGTCCCATGCTGGATGTGGAGATAACGTAATAATAATTTTTTTAAAAAGACAGTAATAGGGGATCCCTGGGTGGCGCAGCGGTTTGGCGCCTGCCTTTGGCCCAGGGCGCGATCCTGGAGACCCGGGATCGAGTCCCACGTCGGGCTCCCAATGCATGGAGCCTGCTTCTCCCTCTGCCTGTATCTCTGCCTCTCTATCTCTCTCTCTGTGTGTGTGTGACTATCATAAATAAATAAAAATTAAAAAAATAAAAAAGACAGTAATAGAGTTCATCTTCTTGGAATTCAGCAGTTTCAAATAAGCCTAGTAAAGGGTAATAACATGCACAAAGGAAAACAGGATAGCACGCGGTAGAAAACGAGAATCAGAAGCTGCCCACGTAAGGGCAGCCAAACTGACAGATGAGACACGTCCAGGAAGAGACCACAGGTACACAGTCACTTGATTTACAACAGAGCCGACAGGGCAGGACAGGGCAGCGGGGCCTTCCGGCGGATGGTTCAGAGCTGGCCGGCTGTCGCCGCGGGAGACCAGGTATCCAACTCCTGCCTCCCACCGCACACAAAATACCAACTTTGGATGAAAGATCTAAATGGGAAGGGCGAAGGGAATAGGAAAGTGTATCCGTGACCTTGAGGGAGGCAGCGATTTCTTAAACATGACTCCGAACCACTAAACATAAAGAACACTTGGGTAAACCAAACCACATCAAAATGAAAGATTTGTGTTCCACGGAAGACCCAGTGAGCAGAGCTATCTACAAGTCACCAAGAGAAAGGCAGACCCCGCGCAGCCCGGGGTGCTCAGTGGTTTAATGCTGCCGTTAGCCCAGGGCATGATCCTGGAGTCCTAGGATCGAGTCCCATGTAGGGCTCCCTGCATGGAGCCTGCTTCTCCCTCTGCCTGTGTCTCTGCCTCATTCCCCCCCCCCTCTCTCTCTGTGTCATAAATAAATGAATAAAATCTTTTAAAAAATATTTTTTAAAATATTTTTAAGTCATCTCTACACACAACACAGGGCTCAAACCCATAACCCGGAGATCAAGGGTCACGTGCTCTATTGACTGAGCCAGCTAGATCCCCCTAAAATCTATTTTTAAAAAACTTTTTTTAAGATTTTGTTATTTATTTATTCATGAAAGACAGAAAGAGAGAGAGGCAGAG